AAATGTGCTATGTAATATATCTATGGAAAATATAAATTGTGACTTACTAGAATCATATAACACATGTCTTTTTCAGTTGTATAATTATATCCATCTAACGGAATCCTCGTGATTGGTTTGATTGAATAAATTATTTATCGTAACGTTCATTCTTTCTGCATCAAATTTTAATACCTTGATTTGTCGCTAGACAAAGAGTTTAAAAGAACATTCATTACAACCGATTCGTTAATCAAACCGTTAAAAAATTCAAATCGATATAGTCATTTCTCTTTTCTATCGATTCATTCACATTCTTACAACAGTAACGATTAATTGCAAAAATAATGTCTCAAACATTAATTCGTAGTCAACGTAATATGAAATGGGAAGGAAAACCATTACTTACATATGATTGTTCAATTTGTTTAACGATTAATACAAGTCAACTTCTTGAATTACCTTGTCATCATAACGTAAATAAAATAATTTTCGAAGAAAATTTATTTTTGTTTTGTTTTTAAATAGATATGTTTATCATGTCTTCACATGATATGTGCTCATTCATCTTTGGCTTGTCCATTTTGTCGATGTCGTCTTTCAACATGGCTTCGTTATAATCCTGATTATTCGAAATTAATTATTCAACGAGAACCAGAATCGAAAATTATAAAGAAAACACGTGGTAGACCAAGATCAAAATTTCCAAAAAATTCTATCAAGAAAAAACAACCAAAACGTCATTATGAATCATCAAAACCTAAACCAACAAGTATATAATCATCACATTCTTAAAATACACTATTTATCATTATTTTTAGTCGATGAACAAGGTGCTATATCTAACGATTGGTTATTGGCTCAAAAGATTCATTATGAACAACTTGAAGAAGTAAATTCCGAAAAAAAAAATCATTATTTTTAATTTATTTTTTTTTCTTTTAGTTTCGATATACTCATGGTCGAGTAACTCGATCAATGGCAAAAAAGATGGACATTTCATGAATTAAATATTGTTTCTTATAGGATAGATTTTATTTATCTTTATTGTATATTCTATTAATTTATTTCTAATTATCATAATTTTACTTGTAAAATAAAAATAAATAGTAACCTATTGAATTTTTCTTTATATTAAATGGCGCATAGATATTATTTTTTCTATTTTACGTTAAACATTTATTCATGTAAATGATGATGAATTGTAATAATCATTGGGGTAAGAGAAAAATATATACACGAGTATAACAAAATTTATTTACAGACAAATGTGTTAATGTTATACAACGACTTAGTTCGAGAATAAATAGTGGATCGAATCAATCGACTATGATTCCTTCATGTGTTGAGAAATCGTAGGGTTTATAAATAGATTTTTGTTTCTATCGCTTAAATATTATAGTTTTTATCAATGTAAAAATAATATTGGTAATGAATGTTGTGTTGAAATATGTGGTGACTTGTCTGGTTCAATAAATAAATACAAACAAATAATTTGTGATAGTAATGCTAATCCAACTGATTTCAATCGACATCAGTTTGTAGGTAAATTTCTAATATTTTAAATAATAAAAGATTTTTTATGATCAGAATATAGAATAAAAGATTATATTTAGGCATTATCGAAAATGTTTGATAATAAACGTAAATATATTGATTATGTGGTTGCAAATGTTCTTCGCCAAGTTGTTGATCATATATCACTTGATTGTGTAAGGATTTATTTTTATTCTAACGTTTATCGGATTGTATTTTTTGAATAGTTACATAAATTATCGTGTTGTTTACCACAAAAAATCGAAGAAATTCTTCGAAATGTTGTATGCGATTTTCCTTATATTCTTCTATTGTTTTTTTGTTGCGTATATAATTTAGACTGATATTGATTCGGATCGGTTGATACGAATATTAGTTACTGATATTCTTCAATCCTATGGTAATAGTGCTGGACAAGTTACAGATTGGTATGTATTTGCTAATTCAATAAAGGTTTGTGTCTGATGAATTTCTAGATAATCGAATTCATAAATTATTTTTATATTATAGCCTTCTCATTCGTTATCAAAAACTAATGATAATGATAATAAACAAGAAGATGTACCTATTAATAAACCAACATCGAAATCATCTAAAAATAAGAAAAATTCAGATCGTGTATTAAAAGATCAGATTAAATCAATTTTTGATACTACTCCAGTATCACCATCACTTGTTAATAAGAAACGATCTTCTGAAAGTATTGCTTTTAATAAATTTACTACTCCATCAACAGATCCGAATAATCCATCGATGAATCAAACTCCATCAAATGTAATGACACCTCAAATGATATCTACAACAAATACAATGACTCCAACGAGTACATATTCAAAGGAAACATATACACCTATTGGTACTAAATACCAATCAAGAGCAAAGTAAATAGAAAGAGTAGTTAGATTTTTAAAAATAAAAATATTTAAATACTTTAGACCAAATCAGGATTTAATATTTAATAAAACTAATGAAATTGATAATCATGAATCTCTTCCATTTCATAAAAAATCAGAATTACATAAATCTCCACCACAACATCGAAAATCAGCAAACATCCATCATTATGATCATAAATCTGTATATAAATATCTTTATCTTATAATTCTAAATGATTATTGTTTATTATAGAATAAAAGTAGTGATCAATCATTATGTAGCGATTGTGTTCTAACAATTCAACATAAACATAAACATAAAAGAAGTCCTGTTCATCAAAAACATGATCATCATATCATCAAAAATTTTGATACATTATCAACACGCTCTTCATCCTCTCATTCTTCTGTTCCTATCAATAAACTACACATCGACAAATATAAACAGAACTCCGGTAATGCTTCTTCAATAATTACGGATATAGCATCAACAAGTACCAAATCTTCTAACAGCATAAATGTAGAACAATCAAAATTAAATGATCTTCTCACTGATGAACAGATGTTATTATTCAAATTATTTGCATCTTCTGATAATGCTGTTAAATATCTTTCTCAAAATCAATTTCCTACAGATACTGAATATCAATCATTATCATCAAATGATCTAGAAAAAATGAGTTTATCTTTGACTGAAAATCGTCTGAAACCCAGCTTGGAAAAGAAAACTTTAAGATTTAATCATTATCCAAATATGTTGGCTGATTTTGATTAAATAAAAAGACTAATGTACACTTGAACATTTTAACACGTATCTTTTCCTGTTTAAAATAAAGAAGACTAGTTCAATTCAGTATTCATTGAATAAAACATTATACATATATCTTAAAGTTATTACGACGCATAAAATATCGACTGTCTTTTTTGTTGATCCGCATCGAAATACAACAGTAAAATATGTTCGACCGAAATCGTAATATTATTAGTATGAAACGTACATAAAATGATTCACATTATATAATCTTCTGTCACCGTATGTTTTTCATTATGTGACTGAATATATCGAGAAGGATACATGCCTGTCAGCATGTATGGCTTATCTTACAGATTCTTGTCATCACTCATTTTAATTCTTAACATAAATAAAGATTTTGTCTCGACTATAATCAGGAGGCATAAAGTAACACATTTGCTTCGTATGTATAATTGTTTCCATCGATTATTCAGATATCGCATGAGTGAATAGTGGTATGCAACGAAAATAAGGCTTTAGCTTCGTCATGAAAGTAGCTAACAATGTTCATGAAAAGGGTTGGGCAAAATTGAGTGAGATGTTATGATTCTTATTAATGTGAATAGACAAATTCTATCTACAATGATAATTTGAACGATTTTCATATGCTCTTATATTGTCTAAAATGATTCGTTTACTGAAAAGATAAATTCTTTCTATCTTTCGATTGAAAATAGTGACATCTTTATGAACATAGTCGGCAACATCGAAATAGTACCAATCCATGACAGTCGTTAAAATCATTATAATTCATTTTTTTGTACAATATAGTATTGAATTATATGTCGTCTTTTAATCAAATTCAGACAGCTTGTGGTGCGCTTGGTTATTTCGATAGTAAAACCTATTTAAAAGATGATGATTGTGAAGGTTTGTCTATAACTTTATTTCTTTTAAATAATTTTTTTTCTCTTTATTCATTCTATTTAGATGCTTTACGTATTCTTCTTCGTTGTCTTAAATATGAAAATGAGCGTAAAGATGCTCGAATACAAATGTTTGAATCAAAAATAATTGAAAATGATCTTATACCCATTCTAATACATTTAGATAGTAAACATGATATAAAAATTATTCATCATGCTCTAAAGTAATTAAAACTAGTTAATAATAAAATTCCCCAAAAAAAATTCATTTAGATTACTTGTTAATTTAACAAAACCACCGTTGGTATGTTTCGATGGAAAAATACCCAAAGATGTAACATTAACAAATGTTTATTTAAATATTGAATCTCATTTACAAAAAACTAAAGCTGTTCGTATTTAAATTAAAAAAATATGATAAATAATTTTTCTTTTTTTGTTTTTGAAGAATTTAGCAAATGAAAAACTCTTTGAATTTCTTGTTACTAAAGTTCAACCTGTACTTGTTAAAGTTTGTAGTTACGAATACTTATAAATTTTAATTTATTTATATTAATGTCAATTTAGGATTGGCTTGATCGATCAGATGAAGATGATTTTATTGTACATGCAGTTTTTACACTTGTACGAAATATTCTTTCAATTAAATCTGAACGACAAATATCAGAAGAAAGTGATATTAATGCACATGATCTTGTTCTATGGTAAGAAGTTTATATAATAAGTAATAATTTAAATATTTAATAAAAAAAAGGGCAATTCATAAGAGTAATATGGAAAATTTAATATTATTCTGTGGTAATAATGCACAAGGAGATGAACGTATTATGAATATTCTTGAAATTGTTGTTTTAATGTTACGAGAACAAGTAATATAAAAAAGATTAATAATGCTCAGTAGAAGCAAGCGAAATTTTCTTTGTTATAGTCGGCAGAAGAATTGGCTTGTACTGGTGAACAACAATCAAAAAATAAACGTCAAAAAAATAATGAGTAAATTACGAGTGAATATTAAGAAAACAGCCCAATGATCCCTTCGTTTTTCCTTTAGCGCACTTGATCTTCTTTACGAACGTGAAGTAGCTGAAAAACAACAATTACATAAATTAACTGCTAGGTAAACTAAAATAGATCGTTCTAATAGTATTTCAATTGTTTATATTTTGAAAATAGTCGATCAGCATTTGGTGCTGCTACATATGTGATGTGTAATGCAAAAGGTATTGGAGAAAATCAATTAATTTGTCATCGACCATTACAAAATCTTAATGCAATGGAATTTGATCGAGAAAAACGTCGTTTTCGTCGACCGAAAAATCGTGCTCCAATTAAAAATGATTTCGATGAATCTCAACATCATCATTCAGCATTAGGCATTCGATTATTTCTTCGAGAATTTTGTTTAGCATTCCTAGATAATTGTTATAATATCCTTATGCCACGTGCACGAGTAAGATTCTTTTATTTCTCTCTCACATATATATTTTTTATGAAAATTTTCTATTAGGAAATGATTATTAAATCAACATGTTTACTTAGTGATGAAACAAATTTCTTTTGGTCAATACGATTTTTTACAGAATTTAATCGACATGCACATACATCGATTGATCGAATAAGGTTGGATATTAATAATTCATAGAAACTGAAAATAAAATATATTTTCGCTATTTAGTGAAACATTACAAATGAATACATTTCATTTACTTCATACAAAAATTGATCATTATAGAGAAATGATTAAAATTGATAAACCTGAAGCTAAACTTTGGGCAAAACGGTTCGAATAAGATTTTTATAAAAAATAATAATATTTTTTGATTAATTTAGACTTCAAATTGGTTTTGGTGCTTTTAAACAATATATTCTTTGTGTGAAATCAATGTTAACAAGTAAAGATGAACTTGTTGTTCGTGCTGCAACAATCATAAAAAGTACCCATAATAATTTTTATTACTAAAACACTGAAATATTCTCTTGGTTTACAGACAATATTTTCTATATGCAAGAATATCGTGAACAAATTTATCTATTACTGAAAGATTATGATAATACAAAAATGACAAGGTACAAAAAACGCGATGCCTTTTTATTTGAATTTCTTTATTTTATCTATTAGTGCATATCTTCATGATCTTGTTGAAAGTACTCATGAATTCCTTAAATTACTTGAAGAACATACAACAAAATTAAAGCATGTTTTTGTTCAACGTTGTCGTACAGCACGTAAACCAGTAACTAAGAAAAATACAAAGAAAAAGAATGATGGTAAATAAAATTACTATTGAAAGTACGGGTACGGATGTAAAAATTAAAATTTATTTAGAAACTAATGAACCACCTAATGAACAATTAGAAGAAGAATGGCAAAATCAAATATCTGAACGTTTATCATGTTTATTACAAGGTTTAGAAGAGACAACTGTTAATAAATCTGATGTATGTCCATTTGATGCTCTTTCGGAAGTGCCTATTGATGATCAAAGGTTGAAAATAAATTTTATAGTTTTCGAGTTTATAGCATTTGTTTTGTTGAATATTTTAGTTTAACTGCTGTTGCTCGAATTCAACATGCATTACGAACAAATAAATTAGATGAAGCTATTGCACTTTTTCGTGCTTCTCGGTAGAATTTATTGATTGAATTCGAAATATAATATATATTGATTTGCTTTTTAGAGAAGTTTGGCAAACGGAAAAAACATTTGGCTATGAAGATATTGGAGCTGAAGAAGAATTTAATTTACTTCGAGAAATTTTTATGACTACAAAAATGGATAGTAAATAAATAATTTCATCTGATTACATATTCTAGGAATATTCATTTAGATCTATTACCAAAAAATACGGAAGAAGATGATGAAGATTTACATGAAGAAGAACAAGAAGAAGGACATGATGAAGGTATATATAAATCATTTCTGAGTTAATCCATCTTGAGGGTGTGGGTTTTGCCATGTTATCTGCAGCCAGACGGACACGTAGATTCACCCCCTCATAGATATACTCAATCTATGCAGTATCATAGTATTTTATATCAAAATAGTTGTTCTTACTTCACCTTAATCCTATGATCGAAAAGTGGTACATATATGTCTCACCGTCCATCAAAGGGTTAACTTAATTATTATCTATATAGAATTTCTATTGTATCTCTTTTATCCTAAAATAACAATCACTGTTAGACATTTACATTAGCATGAGGTTAATTGAACTTATATGTATAAACAACTGTTCAGCAATAGTTCTACTTAACCATTTTATATATCTTATGTTTTCTTAATCATTAATTGTGATATTCTCCTATCGATATTTGTTTTGACATGTCATTATAGAACAAAAAAATAAAAGAAACAAACGGATTGTATCACAATTAACATTTAGAAAACATCTTTTGTGATGATACATATCTCACTAATTCGAAGACATTAGAAACAAAAAACTGATATTTCGTTTTTTGAGATCTTTCGTATATCCTATTTCTTCTTTATAGATGAACAAGAATCAATGCATACAATTGAACGTGAAGAAGAATTTGATTTCAAAAAATTCATATCACGGTAAGTAATATGATAGATGAATAATTCGATTGATACAATCTAGAATAAATGTACAATAACAACATTTTTATAAACATTATGTTTATATTATAAACAGAAAAAACCTATCATATGATATGCCATAAATAACTATTTTAGTCCTGCTGATTGCTATCTCATCTGTTTATTTTTATATGAATATAATACTTTTGGCAAAAAAAAGACATCGTAGATAATAGAAAGTACTTCTGTAAATGACGCATTCGATGAAATAAAGATCTTGAAAGATTTCAAAAGACTTTCTTACTCCTATAAATCTTTAAAATATCCTAACTTCTTTCTTTTAGTTTCGCCCATTCAACTGTTCTTTCATCATATATTGATGTTTTCCGTACATATACAAGCAATACACCATATTTAAATCATTGTATAGTTCGTATGTTTTATCGTATATCAGTTGATTGTAATTATCCTGGTATACTTTTTCAAATGTCATTATTTCGTATATTACAAAAATTTTCTCTCGATCCATTATCAAAATCTCAACAACTTGCTGTAAATTTTCGATTTTGATATCATTAGATTTTAAAGATATTTCTTTCATAGGAATTATCACAATTTGGTAATTGGTTGCTACGTAAATTTTTTCAAGCTGCACAAAATAATCCATATATCTATGCTGAATTACTTTTTTGGAAAGATCGAAGTGTTGTCGATGAAATGCTTGATGGATATCGTCAAACAGATCGTACGCATGAAGGAGAAAAGTAAAGAAAAAATTTCTTCGAATATTTGTTGATATATATTTTTTTCTATAGAAAATTAAAAGCAGCGTCATGGTCGGTTGAACATCAAATTGAATTACGTGATCTGTTTAGAAAAATTAAAGAAGAACAAATAGAAAATATTGGTTAGTGTAAACGAGATTGAATAATTTCTATTGAATGAAATATTTAGGTATTGAAAAAACGGATATTGTTGATCGAATTCTATTGGAATTAACAGATAAAACAAAATCAAGACGTCAAATAATTAAAGAATTAAAAAATCAAGATTTAATAAAAAGTACAAGAGAACTTAAATTGTAAGGTTGACTTTCATAGAATATTTATTTTCTATGTTTTATTTCCTATAGAAAAAAAGCACCAGGTCGACGATCGAAGAAAAAAGATGCTCGTGAAGATTCTAAACTTCTTGGTTATGATTCTGATGTGGCAGACATAGACGATGATGATAATAGTGATGATGAAGGTTCTATTGATAATAAATCCATTTCATCTGAACATGTTGAAGATAAATCTAATGATTCAAATTCAAAAAGTGATAATATTATTTCAAAAGAATCACCTAAAATCAATAAAAAACAAGCTGAAGAAGACGAAGACGAAGAAGAAGAATCTTTACCTGTCCTAAAAAAACAAAGTCGTAAATATGATTCATTATCAATGTTCAATGATAAAGATGATGATGATGATGATGATGACGATATTTCCTCGTCACGACCTGTAAAAAAAGCACGTCGTCAATTATCATCTTCAAGTGAAGACGACAATTAATTAATATTTTTCTCCAATACTTATGTATTTTGTCTTTCTTGTGTTATAATAAAACTCTATCAATTATCATATCTAGTTTTGTTTTGATATTTACTTATGAAAAGATCTTTATTTAATTAGCAAAAAATGATAAAGTATATATGTATATCATAAGTGAAAAAAACATATAACCAGCAGAGAGATACTTTTATTTAGATATTTTTCTCTATATATATATGTATCGAGTTATAAGTGTATTACAGTAATGTAACAGAATATAATGATGATATTTATAACATAATATCAATTACGTCTTTATTTCTTTTCGTCGAATGAATGTTATAATGCTATTATATAGTTTGTCCAATAAATAAAGAAAACAGAAAAAAAACAAATTGATCAAAGTAATAAGAGAATCGGGGTAATCGGATAAGACTCATATGTATCATACACCTGTTTGAAAATGTAATTTTACAATTATTGATATGTATAAATTATATATTTTCTTAAGAGATACAACAATTATGCTACTATTTCAAAGCATGATTCTCTCTGTTTGTATTATTTCTATGTCACAATTAACGTGATAATCATGTTCTCTTACTGACATATTACGAGTAGTAAGACTATAGTTAATAAACTTGAAATATGTGCGGTGTGCAGAAATGAGGGCAATATACATATATTGCAAAGTAATGTAATATCTTCCCTTCTTCCTTTTTTTTTCTATATTACATATGTTCGATTGTATGTGCGTAGACGAGAAGAAAAGGAATTTCTTTTCTATCTCGTTGTATACTGCTGGTATTTTATCTGCTCGTGTTATTGTTGTTGTCTTTTGTCTTTACCATTCGTGTACATGCCGTTTTTTTCCTTTCGGGTTATCCTGTCGATTACATGCCGCCTTTCTTCTCTTATGTTGTTCCTTACACTAATGACTGATCTTAAGTAGACAGAAGAAAAAAAAAACTTTTCTGGTTCGCTCTAGTTGCTTCATGTAAAGCGTAGAAATATATATATATATATACAACCGTTTAGGGTTGGTGTTTCCTTTTTCTTTTTTTTTCTAGTTTTATCTGTACAAGTAAAGAAGAAAAGAAATAATCTCGTTTACTCTTTTTTCTTGAGATTTGTCCTCTTCTTGCGACATATATATGCAACCCACGTTGAAGATATTTCTATATTTGAAACAAATAGTATCTTATACATTTATATATATATATACATAGAAGTTCGCATAACCCCAGCGCGTTAATACACTCTTTTGTTTTTTTATTAATTATAGTTCGTAGAACATTTACTCACCTTTACCCACAAGATTTTTGCAAAAAAAAAAGATAACAATAGCAATAGTACGAACACGATCTTACGTTGTGAGTATAAACATATGAATATTATAAATTCTCTCTTTGTATTAAGATGAAAAGGTTAAAAAGTACACTTCAATATTGAAGTGGAATAATCTTTGTTACACTAGTACATACTTGAGAGTAGTTTAGTTAGAAAGTAAAAGACACTGCAAGAGAAAGAGAAAGAATTTGATCTCTTTTTTAAAATAGAAACTAACTTCTACGTATGTCAAAATCAATTTTGCAGCTGTATTATATTAATTATAGAATGATAAATGAGAATTTTGATGTACATATTGTGTTATTAAAACATTATCTTTCATAAGAATGTTTTTTCAAATATTTGATTATCTTCATTCCTTCCTTTGTCGACATATGAAAGATTAGTGATGCCACTCATTGTGTACTCAACATAATACTATGTCCAAAGTCAAATGAAGGAGAAAATCATTGATATACTATCATGCGTTGAAATGTCTCTCATTATTCTTATGTACATTGAGCAAGGAGATTTATACATTTATATAGATATTTATCTCATGTCCTAGTTGAAAGATTGTAGGTCGTATACAGATAAATGTTTTAGTTAAGTTATTTATCTAAGATATTAATAATTATAGTAATGAATAAGTACTCCTACATATTTTTCGCCTTCTTAAATTCCATTTCTATGAATAAGGTAATATAGTAGAATGTGAATCACTCTAAGGATGCGTCACTTAAGAAATAAATAATGTCAATTCCTTTTTTTTATTTTGCGATTAATATAGCCTTATATATATATATACATGGATATTTAACATATTTGTCAGTTTATAGGTTGAATACATAATTATACAGATTATTTTCGGATGCATTGCATACAACGGTAATTATAGAAATAGTCATATTTTCCCTTTCTGTCAATAGGTTAGTTAACATTTATTCGTTTGTATGCATGCATGTCGTCGTTTAGTCACCTATTATTTTCGATTCAGCTGAGACAGTAACTGCGTCAATTAACAGTGAGATGTCGCTTGTTTTGAAATGAAGTTATTATTAATTTCTTCCATTGGCTATGTTTCTATGGTTATTTCGAGACAAAGACAAATTCTTCTTGTGTTATTTAATTATATTAATCAGTAAAGAGATAAGATCAGTTACTTGATTCGTCTTCTGTTGATATATATATAAAGTCAATGAAAAATAAAAAATTATAGTGGCATTTTTCTATTACATGAGTTTATGTTTGTCTGTGTTTTAAGTCATTCTCTTTTGTTTTTATCAAAATATTTCATCGCGTGCACACATTTAACACAAGTGTCTGTCTCTTTCGTTATTTCTTCTCCCTTTTGTGTATGTTGACTACTTCTTAATAGAGGTTCGTGTTGGAGATTTTTATTCTGTTCTTTTCTTTCATATATACATATACTCACACACATACATACATACATACATATATATATATATATAAATAAAAGACATAAACCAATTTTTGAAAAATTTTCATTTGTTCTGTGTTATTTCTTTTTTCGTCTCATTTATTAGGTGAATCACATATCTACGATTCGAAAACGTATAACCATCTAAGCTACTACTGCAGGTCGTCGTCAAAGAAGAAGAACAAGAAAGAAAAAAAAAACTTTTGAACAGAAAGAAAAAAAGAGAAAAAAAATGTCAACTACGTACAACCAGTCGGCAAACGGCTATTCAGGTGGAGGAGGAGGAGGCGGACCTGGCCATACTGAAAATCCTCAACAAAACGAACAAAGCGAATCTATTGAAGAAGACGAATTTGGACGTACTGAAGAAGGTAAATATAGATTAAAGAAATAAAATTTATCATCTTATCTTTGATCAATATAATCCACATTGTAATAATTTCTCTTTTTCTTTTTTTCCTTTTTAAAGAATTTCAAGAAGATATGCAGCGAGAATTAGCTGATGATGCCCCATGGAAAAGGATACAACAAAATACATTTACTCGATGGGCAAATGAACATTTAAAATTGCTTAATCGTAATCTTAATGATCTACAATTAGAATTAGGCGATGGATTAAATTTAATTGCATTAATTGAAGTTTTATCACAAAAAAAAGTTCCACGTTATAATAAAAGACCAAATTTTCGTTCACAAAAATTAGAAAATGTCTCAGTTGTATTAGATTTTTTGGAAAATACTGAACGTATACGTCTTGTGAATATTGGTAAGTTTATTTTACCTATTGAAAAGTATACATATACATATGAGTATGGTGAAGATGTTTCTTAAGGATATAAAAAAAAAAGTGCACTTGAGACAGGTGTGTTAAAATCTTCGTTCTTTGATATTGGTATATTTCGTCTTTTGTTTTTATGATATTAATTGAGAGGTCCTGTTTAGTTAATTAGTTATATAAATATTTTGAAAATTTTTGTTATCAAATATGTTGTTAGAGAACAATGCGTTTCATATTTCATTGACGAAATGAAATCGAATGGAAAAAAAACACGATATAACTGTCATGTATTAAAAGTTCGATGAAGCAATGAACTGGAAAGAATATAGATTTTTTTCTCTCTGTTTGTTTAATAAAGATGAATTTAGTGATTGGATCAAAGAAATATTCAAGTAGTACGTAATCAATCGAAGAAAATGAAGTGTTTATGAGTTTTTTTTATCACCCTCAAGATGTAATCATGCATAAGAAATTTTTCTCCTGTGGGATTTTCTATATTTGAAAATTAGTTTTTCGGCATGTTATTGTTTAGATTCATTATAGATTTTCTAAAATAAAATAATTCAAAGGATTAGCAAAGACAGTATACATACTATGAGAGAAAGATTAGATTATTGAATTGAACAATAGACGATTGTGATATTTTGTGAATAGAATAATTGATCATATGAAACTTGATCGGTGAAGAAAGAAAGTAAAATAGTCATAAGAGAAAGTATAATCAGACGTATCCTGTATTGTCCTCTTGACAGTTAATGAATATAAGATTTTTTTTCAAATAAAAACAATTAAGTGTTTCTTAAACTTCTCTTCTAAACTAGCAAGATTATAATCTGTTCTTCACGATATAATTTGACAACATTTTCCTATTGCAAAATTTATTTTCATATGGAAAATCTTCATAATCTAGTATCATTTAAATTGTAATTAAAAACAATTAATAAGTTGATTACGTAATATCTGACATATCTATATGAGATATAAAAAAGTCTTTTTCTCTATAGTTGAATAATTAAAAATCGTTAATATTGTAATTATGTCATAATGTTTCGTTTAAAAAGTTATTTTGATTGTGATTTTCTATTAATTAGTATTTAGTGTAGAAATGAATGATTATTTTGAAGATTCGTTTGACGTATACTCAAGGTCTATGACCCTGAAATTAACGTCAAAATGTATCTTGATATCGATTTTTCTTTCGGGCTCACAGATACGTCAATTAAATCTGTTTAAGATATGAATTTATACAATAAATGTTAGAGAATAAAGCTTACAGTTCATTCATTCTATAACCAATCGAATAGATTTTTTTTTGCATAAAATTTTCATGAATTCAATTCTATTCTCATGATTAGATATGTAGAAAAAATAATAATTTATTTAACTATAAAATCTATATAATATATTCAAACCCATACATACATACTCGTTTCTGTGTAGTTTATTTACAAAAAATGTATATTTGAAAAATTTAGATGCTTCACATATTGTTGATGGTAAATTAAAACTAATTCTTGGTTTAATATGGACATTAATTTTACATTATTCAATTTCATTACCTATGTGGGAATTCGAACAACCCGATGGACCTGGCACGGGAAAAGATGTAACACCCAAACAAAAACTCATGAATTGGGTTCAAGAAAAATTACCACCAGAATTACCTGTCACAAATTTTACATCCGATTGGAATGATGGTCGTGCTATTGGTGCACTCGTTGATGCATGTGCACCAGGTATGAATACATCTATAGATTACTTCTCATTAAAAATAAAATAAAATGAACAGTTCTTTATATATGTATGTATGTATGTTTTTTTTAATAGGACTTTATCCGGATTGGGCGGATCGTGATCCAAAGAATGCATTAGAAAATGCTAAAGAAGCTATGGATTTAGCTGAACGTTGGTTAGGTGTCCCACAATTAGTTGAACCACATGAAATGATTAACCCTAAAGTCGATGAACAATCTATGATGACTTATCTATCACAATATCCAAGTGCTAAATTAAAACCAGGTGCACCAATTAGACCCAAAACAAATTCAGCACGCGTTAGATGTTATGGAAAAGGTTTGTACAATCAATGATTATATCGTTAGTGCAAAAAGAAGAAAAAAAAGAAACCCGAAGAAGACAAAAACCATCTGATGCCATTTTTTGTCTACTCTCTTTCACATTTACTATTGTTCTTCATTCATGGGCATATCTTTTTCTAACAGTCAGTTTGAATAATGAGTTCATCGGAGTTAGTTGAAACTACAAAATCGTATTCATTTAAACGACATATAAAAAAAACAGAAAATACTACTGAAGAACAATGGATTAAACGAATACATTTCTATCATCATCGTTCTCGTTTGTTCGAATAGTTGATTTAAAATAATTTATTGATTTTTTTGTCTTCTGCAGGTATTGAACCAACTGGTAATCACGTTGATGCACCAGCTAAATTTCATGTTGAAACTTTTGCTGCTGGCAAAGGAAACGTTGAGGTGATTGTTTTAAATCCAAAAGGACAAAAAGAAAAAGTAAATATGAAAAAAAGAAATTTATTTGTTTTAATATATATATATATTTATTGCTTAGTGTGAAGTCGAATTTCGTGATGATAAAAATCAAACTTATGATTGCACATATTATCCAACGATGGAAGGACAATATAAAGTAAATTATACAAATAATATGGAAAGAATTGTTTTTAAAGAATTTTTTTGTTATTTAATAGGTCATTGTAAAATTTGCAGGACAAGAAGTACCAAAATCGCCATTTTCACCTTTTATTCAAGGCAAATCAGGTGATGCTAGTCAATGTCGAGCAAGTGGACCTGGTCTTGAACCAAATGGTGTTATGGTTGATAAACCAACATGGTTTGAAATTGATGCTACAAGTTAGTTTAACATGATTATATTCTTATGTTTTATTTTTTTTATCTTTTATTATTCAATAGATGCTGGCAATGGTCTTGCTGAAGTTATACTTGCTGATCCTCAAGGTCGACAAGATGTTGTACCTGTATCAGTCAAACAAACTGCTCCTGGCAAATTTCGTTGTGAATATGTCCCACGTGAACCTGGTCTTCATTCAGTAAATGTATTTTTTGCTGGTCGACCTATACCAAATAGTCCCTATGGTGTTAATGTTTCACCATGTATGTATAAACTTACAACTAATATTTGTTTAACTGACAGAAGAAAAACAAAAAAATACCCTTATCTCTAGTAGCATCAATTTTCTACTCTCCTGATTTTAAAGATCTATTTACAACAAATGAGGAAAATTATTATTCCTCTATTGAATTGAAACAACAAAAAAGTACACATAATGTCGATAGACTATCGACTTTAAGATTTCAGAAGGGTTTGTTCATTATTTTTGCACGTAGAAGGGAATATGGTTACTTTTTGTAGTATATTTAAAATGGTGATTGGATAGTAGTGTATGAGAATAGTATAAAAACGTATGTTAATATTCTTTTATTTCTATTCTATAGCATCTGATGCCAAAAAATGTCGTGCTTTTGGACGGGGCCTTCAACCAAAAGGTGTTCGCACTGGTGATGTAGCAGAATTTCGTGTTGTTACTAAAGATGCTGGAGAAGGTGTTATGAAAGCAACAGTTGCTGGACCAGGTAAGAATCTTCTATTATTTAATTGATCTATGTATATATGTAAATTATTTTAGATGGTTCCGAAGTCCCTTGTCGTGCAACAAAAGTTAACAATACAACATATGAATGTGGTTATGTACCAAATCGTGTTGGACCTCATACAGTTAATATAACATATGGTGGTGCTCATATACCTAAAAGTCCATTTCCGGTAGCAGTTGCACCTTATAAAGATTCACGTATACGCGCATTTGGACCTGGTCTTGAAGGTGGCATTGTTGGTTTTCCAGCTGATTTTGTTGTTGAAACTAATGGTGAAACTGGTTCATTAGGTATGTTCGAAAAATATTGTGTTTCTCATGTTTTTAACTAAGTTTTATAATTAAAATAATTCATTAGGTGATATTAGTAAGTATCGATTTGATGTGTATCCCTATTAGCAGTAAAATGCATGGACTGACTTTTAGTTTATTTTTACTTTTTTCTACATTGAAATTTTTCTTTTGTTAGGTTTTTCAATCGAAGGACCATCACAAGCACGTATTGAATGTAATGATAATGGTGATGGATCAGCGAATGTTCGTTATTGGCCAACAATACCAGGCGAATATGCTGTACATATTCTTTGTAATGATGAAGATATACCACATTCACCATTTATGGCTTGGGTTGAATCTCCAGGAAATTTTGATTCGAATAAAGTAAAGATTAACAATTGATTTTAAAAAATGTTATATTTGTTTTTAGGTTAAAGCTTATGGTCCTGGACTTGAACCAGCAGGACAAATTATTGGTAAACCAACTGAATTTACAATTGATACACATAATGCTGGTGATGCTACATTACGTGTTCAAGCTATTGATCAAGAATATCAACCAGTTGATGTACATGTACGAAATAATGGAAATGGCACACATACTTGTCGTTATACACCAACAAACGCAAATCGTCATTGTATTTTAATTGATTATGGTGGTGTTGCTATACCAAATAGTCCATTTCGAGTAAGTTTCCTTTTTTTGAGAAAAAAATATTCAATAAAATCGATATAAACACATAGGTTTGGCCAAGTGAACCATCAAATCCATCAAAAGTACGTGTTTTTGGTCCAGGTGTTGAACGTGGCATAAAAATGAATACTCCTACACATTTTACTGTTGATTGTAAAGAAGCTGGTCCAGGTTAGAATTCAAAAAATAGTATTTTTCTTTTCTGCTTCAATGCTATTTCTTTTCACTTTATACTAATACATATGTATATATATATATATATATATACATAATACTCACTTATAATAAATGCATGATTAATTAACCTTATTTGCATGCTAGTGATTTCTACTAATCTCAATCATCGTTTTCGTTCGCTTGATTCACTCGATATTGATACATGTGACAATGATATAATCCCATACAAAATTGATATACAAAATCTTGATAATGAACAATATTCTTCATTGGCGATAGAAAATGATGATAAAAATCATGCAATACATGTTACATATAGACCAAAAGCACGTGTAACACTTGTAAATGTTGCTGTTGTTTGGTAGATGCTTTTGCTTTACTGTTTATTTGCTTTGCTTGCTCATTTTATTAATAAAAATATTTAGATTAGTTTTTTTGAAAATAATAAAAAAAGTCATTAAATAGATCAATAAATAATCGATTTAGTTATTTTAGGGGATATATCAATTGCACTCACTGATACAAAAAATCAAGATGTTCCATTTACTATTGATGATAAACAAGATGGAACATTTGAAATTGCTTATACACCAAAATCACCTGGTGTACATTGTATTAGTGTTTTATTTGGTGAAAATGAAATACCTATATCACCATTAAAAGTTAATGTTGAACCAGCTGTTGATGTTAGTAAAATACGTGTTGAAGGTCTTGAAACAAGTAAGTTTACTCACTGTAAATCTATATTATTTAGATAACTATTAGAAAGATTTTGTTTCCTCTATGTATATTTACATATTAATCTAACAATTCTCTATTATTTTCTAAACACACACACACATACATTCTATCTCTTTCGTACATCCTAGTGCCTATTGTCGGACAGCCTGCTCAGGTAACATTAAATACATTAGCAGCTGGTACACTACCAGCTAATTTAATTCATGCTCGTATTGTCGGACCAAAAGGCAATACTGAAGAAGCAATCGTAACGCCAGCACCACAAGGTTATAATCTTCGCTTTAATGTACCTGAACCAGGTATATATACCATTGAACCAGATGTATGTACAATACCTCTACGTCCCGTACAAATCACAGCTATTGAACCAATTGATCCAAGTAAAGTACATGCTTTTGGACCAGGTCTTTCGCAAGGTACAGTTAATAAACCAGCTGATTTCGTTGTTGATACACGTGGAGCTGGTAATGGTCAATTGGGTGTTACTGTTGAAGGACCATCTGAGTCAAAAATTGACTATCAAGATAATAATGATGGTAGTTGTCGTGTAACATATCATCCAACAGGTAGTTCATTTTTGATCGTTTTATGTTTCGTTTTTTCATCGTCTTATGAAATACAGTCGCTGGTAATTACAATATCAATATATTATATGAAGGAAAACATATCGCTGATTCACCATTTCATGCTGCTGTACGAGCTGATCTTGATACACGTACTATTCGTTGTTATGGTCCTGGAATTGATACAAACGGTGTGTACTTATATAAAAACACAACGACCATATATATATTTAATCATATAAAATGCATGTCTTAACTTGCCATTGATCGATTTCGCCTGCATGAACTACTGCTTTCCTTTTCTCTATCATATTATATATTTAACGTGCTTGTGACCGATGTAGAGCACGTCAAAAACCTAATAGAAAGAACTATCTTCCTTCTACTAATATAAATAGTAAAATATAATTCTCTACATACTCTTCTAGATCTTTTGAGCTATTATTAATCTTTTTATTCAAACATTCTTGTAAGAATATATAGTAATATATTCGGTGATGGGTTTTGCTTTTTTTTGGGTGCATGATAGAATGCTTAAAATATTATTTTTATTCTTATTATTATATAATTACAATTCTTATTTGCTTTTTGTTTGTTTTATTTAGAAGTATTTCTTGAAAGTCCAACTGAATTTACAGTTGATGCTAAATCAGTTACTAGTACTGGTTCAGGTCGTGTTGAATGTTTATTGACATCACCAGGTGGACGAGTTGTTCGATGTCCGATTAAAAATATGAATAATGGAACTTATCTAGTTCAATATGCTCCATATGAACCAGGTAAATTGATATGAAAATATAACAAGCGAATAATTCAATCAATATTATCTTATAGGCATGCATCAATTGGAAGTAACTTATGAAAATATTCCTGTACCAGGAAGTCCATTTCGTGTTAATGCTATATCAGGTTCTGATTCTACACGTGTACGTGCTTATGGACCTGGTCTTGAAACTGCCACAACAAATGAACCAGTAACATTTACTATTGAAACAAAAGGTGCCGGACAAGGTAGCCTTGGCTTAGCAATTGAAGGACCATCTGAAGCCAAAATGGTTTGTAAAGATAATCAAGATGGTACTTGTGTTATGGAATATTTACCAGTAAGAAACAAAGAAAATTAAAAAGATTGTTTAAAATTAAACTTTCTATTTTTGCTTAGACAAAAGCTGGACAATATGATATAGCAATTAAATTTGCTGAACAACATATACCAGGTAAATTCTTGTTTATCTTATATTTAATTTTTTTTCAAAAAATTCGATTTAAGGTTCACCATTTCATGTTAATGTACGTGATCGACTTGACGCTAATCATGTCAATGTTAAAATGAGTTCAACTATGCGTGCTAATGCTTTACAAGAAATTGTAATCGATGGTCAAACAGCTGGACCTGGTAATCCATCAATTGACATAACTGATTCACATGGTAAGTCTTCACTTTTTCTTTTTTTTTTTTTTTTTTGTCGATTTCTTTTGATAAGCGAAGAACTATAAATTACCTTGTTCATTAACAATCATTAGTGTATGTGTATATTTGTTTTAAAATGTATTTATTTATGAAGAATAGAGCTATTCATAGAAATATATTTCGTCTTTTTTTTCTTCGTTTTACATCGATTTTGTAACAAAACGAAAAAAGTAACAGGACGAAGACGATAAAGGAAAACAACATTGTTATATATGTCTCAATTGAAAGGTAAAGATGAAGATGAAAAGACTACATATATATATATGTATATATATTGAAGCCAGAGAAGAAAGGAAAGAAAGGGGGGCAATGCCAAGGCAATGAAGGACGGACTCTATTACCATCACGATCTAATCGCGTTTCATTAACCTTTTCTTCTTCATCATTTGCTTTTTATATTTCATATTTATATACTGTGTAGTACGTGCGCGCGTGCCAAAAAAATTCTCAACCTTCATCGATTTTGTTCAATTGAAGCGTTGATAAATCTCTTTTTTCCTCTTTCTCTCTTCCTCTCCCTCTCTCTCTAGCTTTCGCTTTCTCTGATAAGGCAATTCGACATATGAGAACAACTTGAGAGGTTTAAATTCCCATTCATCTCTTTTTTCGATTAAAATGAACAGTATCGTATAGTTTTTATTCGTTTCTCTTCTTCATTTTTACATATGAAGTTGATTTTTCAATCTATGCAACACAAATACAACGTCTTTTTTTCTCTCTGTCTCTTTCTCTCTCTCGCTGCCATTCAACCTATTTTACTTCGAAAAGAGCATACATAAGTCTATTTTTATATTATAGGTCGTCGTAAACCAGCTAGTATTCGTCCTAGAGGTGAAGGTGTTTACGTTGCTGAATTTACTCCACAAACAGAAGGTCCACATCGTATTGATATTAATTGGAGTGATCAACCAGTACGTCAAAGGTAAGTGTTTATTTTGTTTGCAGAAGAAAAAAAACACCAAAACAACTTTTGAATATCTCTAGTCCATTTAACGTTCAAGTATTACCGAATTTTGAACCACATAAAGTCATTGTTGACGGACCAGGTACTCGTAACGGTATACCAGCATCACTTGAAACACATTTTCGTATTGATACACGTGACGCTGGTGTTGAACATCCAGAAGTTTCAATTAAAGTATAAAAACTAATAAATGATCATCCTTTTTCTTATTATTATTATTTAAACTTTTTAGAATCCTGAAGGTGTTCTAGTTTCTTCTAAAATTATCGATAATAAAGATGGAACATACAAGGTAACATATAAACCAAACGATGTTGGCCGATATATAATTAATGTTAATTATGGTGGTATTCCGGTTAATAATTCTCCATTCAACGTGAAAGTGGAACCGACCGGAGATCCAACTAAATGCCAAATATCTGGTATAGTGTGATTTTTTTTTATGATTATTTAATACAGTATATATATCATTTTAGGCAGTGGCATTAGTCCTAATGTTCAAGTAGGTGAAGAATATACAATTACTGTTGACACACATGAAGCTGGTCCAGGTGCCGTAACAGGTCGTATACGTTCAACTGTTGGCAATGATCTCGATATTGATATTGTTGATAATGAAGATGGAACATTTAATTTATTCTATATACCACATAATCCAGGAAATTATGTTGTAAAAATTAGATTTGGTGGACAAGATATTCCAGGTGGTGATTTTGTCGTTACGGTAAGTTTCAATAGAATTTTTTTTTGATTCATATATCTTACTTCTAACATGAGCGTTTATTAAATAAACTAATATCTCTAATATAGATGTTTTCATCTATGATGAATATTAGTTTAAAACATCATAATTAGACTATAATTCATCATTCGATTTTTATATTAACCTTCTTCTTCTTCTTCATCTTATAGGGTACAAAAGATCTTAGGGTATGCTAATATTCAAATATAATTATCTCACATATATGTCAAACTAATCCATAAATGAGTCAAGATTATGGACTAGAAGTATCGATAAAAAAAGATAAGAATATGTATCATTTCTGGACACGATTTCGAGTTCAATGTAGATGTTGTTGTCTTTCATCTCACATTTCAAGCACTAATCTGCTTCTTCTTTTCATTTGCTTTGATACGACGTCTATAAAAGAAAAACAAATTTATTTATTTACTCTTTTATTTTTATAGGCTGGTGATACCACTACCAGTAAATATACTCGAACACAATCAACAGAATCTGTTACATCAAGTCAATATCGTCCTGTTGATTTTCGTTTACCAGTTGGTGGTAGTGGTCAATTTAGTGATATCACTGGTATGATATATTACTTTTACTAAGTGTTATACTCTATTATGAGACGGCAAGAAGAAAGAACAGTTATAATATCTTAAGTACCTATTGAATAGTAAACTATGCAGAAGAAAAGCAATCATTTTTTTTTTATATAATAGATCGAGTGCGAAATATATCCACCTTCTCTTTTCGATAGATTTGAAAAGCATTTATCTTCAGTTTTATTATTTTGTTAAATGACATTTTTCTTTTAGCATTAATTCGAACACCAAATGGTAAATTTCATACCCCAAATATTGATGATAATCAAGATGGAACTGTTTCAATAAAATATCAACCATCAGAAATTGGTCTACATGAATTAGATGTTTTCTATCAAGGACAACCCATAGCTGGTTCACCATTTAAATTTCATGTTGATAAAGTTCAAACAGGTTATGTCACAGCATATGGACCTGGTCTTAGTCATGGTGTTTGTAATGAACCATGTAACTTTCGTATTGTTACTAAAGATGCCGGTTCTGGTGGTCTTTCTGTTGCTGTTGAAGGTAGTTCAAAAGCTGAAATTCAATGTAAAGATAATAAAGATGGTACATGTGATGTTACATACTGGCCGGTAAATTTTAAAAATTAATCTATTTTTTGAATTTATCTTATTTTTGTTTTCTAACTAAAGACTGCACCAGGTGAATATACAATAACAGTTAAATTCGCTGATAAACATATTGTTGGTTCACCATTTACTGCTAAAGTAACTGGTGTACCACCATCCGTTGAAAAACATAAACGTTCACAAGTTATGGTTGGTAGTCAAAGTGAAATAAGTTTACGTGTAACTGAATTAGATATACATGATTTAAATGCTACAATACGTTCACCAAGTGGTATTGAAGAAGCATGTTTACTTAAAAAATTACCTAATGGAAGTCTTGGAATATCATTTATACCGAGAGAAACTGGTGATCATTTAGTAAATGTTTATCGAGATGGTAAACATATTAAAAATAGTCCATTTCGTATACATGTTGGATCATCAGAAATTGGTGATGCTACTAAAGTTAAAGTATTTGGACGAGGTTTACAAGAAGGTAAATTTCAAATATTTTAGATTTAATTTCGAACAAAAAACTCTCTCGTTTAGGTTACGCTAATCAAACCAATGATTTTACTGTTGTTACACGAGATGCTGGTTTGTTTAAATAAAAGACAAAAATACAATTTAATTTTTTCTTATATTTGATTTAGGTTATGGTGGTTTATCACTTTCAATTGAAGGACCATCAAAAGCTGATATTGAATGTCATGATAACGAAGATGGCTCATGTCTTGTCACTTATAAACCAACTGAACCCGGAGTCTACATTGTTAATGTTAAATTTGCTGATAAACATGTACCTGGTTCGTAAAACATAAAAAACAATATTCCTTTTTAACAAAACTCTAGTAAAGACTAGAATAGACATGACTTAAACTTTGAGTGCTTTTGTAAATATGTTCCAATTAGTAAAAGAAAACCGAATGAATTTATAGAAGAACTAAAAAAAGATCTAAATCAATATTGGTTTTCAATTTTGATGTTAAAAATAGATTGAAGAGACTATGAAGTAGATTTCTATAGATCCTATTATTTACGGTTTTCCTTTGAATACAGATTATAGTGATGAATTTATTTTATTTTAGGTAGTCCATTTACAGTCAATGTAGGTGGTCATGGATCAAATCGACTTCGTGAAAGTATCACACGTGAACGTCGTGCTGCTGATATAACACATATTGGCAGTCAATGCGAATTATCCCTTAAAATTCCTGGTATGTGAATAATATTTTGATTGAATAGAAATTTATTTGTTTTCTTTCTAGGCACATTATCATATGATATGAATGCTTGTGTAACAAGTCCATCAGGCCGTTTAGAAAATTGTGAAATTGTGTAAGTAATTTGAAATGAATGAACGAACTTGAAAAGAAAACTTATATATTATTATTATTTAGTGATCTTGGAGATTGTAATTATTCAATTAAATTTATTCCGAAAGAAATGGGTGTTCATACTGTTAGTGTTAAACATAAAGATATACATATTCCTGGTAGTCCTTTTGGTAAATAAAATATTCATTTTTGGTAATATACAATCAATAAATTATTTGTTTTTTTCTTTAGAATTTACTGTTGGTCCACTTCAAGGTGGCGGTGGTTCACATAAAGTTCGTGCTAGTGGTAGTGGTCTTGTACGTGGTGAAGTGAATACAACAAGTATGCATGATACAATATCTTGATATTTTATACTATATTTTTAACTATTTTTAGATGAATTTAATATTTATACACGTGAAGCAGGTGCTGGTGGCTTAGCTATTGCTGTTGAAGGTCCAGCTAAAGCTGAAATAGATTTCTTTGATCGTAAAGATGGTTCATGTGGTGTATCATATGTATGTCCAGAAGCAGGTGATTATCAAATATCAATTAAATTCAATGATCAACATATTCCTGAATCTCCATTTAATGTTTCAATTGTTCCACCATTTGGTGATGCTAAAAAACTTACAATACATAGTCTTAAAACCAAAGGACTTGAAATTAATCGACAATATACATTTACTGTTAATGTTAACGGTGCACGTGGTCGTGTTGATGCACGTGTAACAGCACCAAGTGGTGCCGAAGAATCATGTGTAGTACAAGAAATGGGTAATGATCATTATGCTATTCAATTTATTCCAAGAGAAAATGGTATTCATTGGATACATGTTCGTTTTAATGGACGTGATATACCTGATTCACCATTTCGTGTTGTTGTTGGACAAGCTAATGCTGATCCAGGTCGAGTATTTGCTTCTGGTACTGGTTTATATCAAGGAGATACTGGTATAAAAATTTCATTTAATTTTGAAAATAATTCTTTTTTTTTAAATTAAATATTTAGGTCAAGCATGTGAATTTTTAATTGATACAACAAACGCTGGTGCTGGCGCATTAGCTGTTACAGTTGATGGACCATCAAAAGTTCAACTTGATTGTAAAGAAGTAGCTGAAGGTAAATAAATCCTTATCTCTCTCTCTCTATATATATAATTAATCTTCATTTGAATATTATTTTACAGGTTATCGTGTTACATTTACCCCAACTGCACCTGGAGATTATCTTATTTCAATTAAATTTGCTGGAACTAACATTGCTGGTAGCCCATTTAAATGTACAGTCGGAGGTAAAGATTAATACTTTTATATAAAACTTTATTAAATATTAAAATCAAATATTTAGGTACTGGATTAAATACAATTCGTGGAAGTGGCGGCAATGGTGGTTTAAATACAATTACCTCATCATCATCGTCATTTGTTCAACGTTCTCAAGGAAATGTCACATCTCAAACAAGATATGATGCTGTTGAAAAAACAACATCATTTTCATCGAGTTCAAAACAAAATAATTATGCTGCTGTCGATGCAAGTCGAGTACGTGCACAAGGAGAAGGTTTATCACGAGCTTACCGAAATGAAAAAGCAGCATTTACTGTTGATACACGTGATGGTGGTAAGTAAAATCGAATAACTATCATTTTCCTTATTTATATATTTTAATTTTTTTAAAAATAAAGGAAATGCTATGTTAATGGTTGGTGTATTTGGTCCAAAATCTCCATGTGAAGAAGTTTTTATAAAACATATTGGAAATAATCAATACAATGTTCAATATGTATGAATTGTTTTTTTTTTATATTTCATAAATTCTTATTTTATTTCTATTTAGACTGTTCGAGAAAAGGGTGAATATATGTTGATTGTTAAATGGGGTGATCAACATATTCCAGGTTCTCCATGGCATATTGAAGTTGTTTAAACCAAAAAATAAAACACTATATATCCCTTGAGAGAGAGAGAAAGAGCATTGAACAATCTTCTCTTATTTATATGCATATATGCAAGAGAATTTTTTTTTTATATTTTCTTTTTTTTTTCTTTCTTTCTTTCTTTCTTTTTTTGTTTTGAATTATCATTCAACTGAGTAGCTTTGTTATATTCTCTGTGTGTATACGCATGCTCAACTACTCGTATTTTTCTTTATTATTATTAGTCAAGGTGCTTCGATGTGTGTGAAATGAATTAGAGAAGAACGAACGAACGAACAAACAAATCAGCAGTGGTATTATCTCTACATCTATTTGTTTCATTTACTTTACATCCGTTTCATTTATTTTATAGTTGGTTGTACGATTTCTCTTTTTTTTTCTCTTTATACATATATATATTCCTATTATGAGACAATATGCTATTCGAACCTTGTCTATGCACCTTTACGTTTGTTTTTTTTCCTTCATAGTTCTGGATAAATAAAAAAAAACTACTGCTGCTTCTTCTTCTTTTCGATTTGCTTTATCTTTTTTTTCATATTCGTTTTTTCTGATGTATTTTTTTTTTCTATTAAAAAAAAAAGATTTTTATGAACATGTCGAGAGAGAAATATTCTCATCTTTGTTTTGCTGATAAACATAATTTCTTCTTTTTTTTTCTTTTTACATGACCAGACAACAACTTTATGATTGCACTCAATCTAATCGGCATTGATAAATTCTATTGTTCTATTTTTAATCTCAGCATAAATTATATTATAGAAAGACAATTAAAAATTCGAATGAAAGAAAAAAGGAATAAATATTGTGATTTTATATCGTGATAAAATTTATGAACGCAAAAGAATGCAGTACAACACTTATGTGTAGCTATCTCATCCTTTATTTCCGTCGAGGACTATTGAAGAAAATTGGATTCCAGTCATTTTCTTCCTCCTTCCTTCCTTATCGAGCTAGTTTTGTTTTTCTATAAAAATAGAGAATGCCTGGATGTTCAGAGTATTTTTTTCTCTATTTATTCTCTTCTTCAGCCAGCAAAATATACAATCATTCTTAGAGTTCACTTTCCCTGGAAGTCAAGAAGATATGCATTCATCATTATTTCGAAAGCATCTTAATGAAAGATATTTTTCATTACCACCAACTGAAGGTCTCGAATCAATAACATCATCATGTCCATCAACACCTCCTATGTCAGCAACATGGTTAAAACCTCCTCAAATTCATTTATGTATTATGAATGATGAACATCGTGAACAAGTTTTTGATCTTGTTATCGATTCATTTTTTCGTGATGAACCATTAAATAAATGTTTAGGTTTTGAAATACCTCATGAACCAACTGAATTTACTGAACTTATCCTTTCAATTGCATTACAAGATCAATGTTCATTTGTTGCTATTGATGTACAAACAGAAAAAGTTATTGGTGTTATATTAAATATAATTAAAGATCAAATACCACTTACAACAAATGATAATCGAAATGAATTAATTATCGATAATTTTCAATCAGAAAAATTACGTTATATATTAAATGTTCTTAAAAAAGTTCATTGTAATATTGATTTATTTGATGAATTAAAAACTGATCGACTTTTACATATTGTTATTATTGCTATCGATGCACATTACCGTGGTTTACGATTAACAGAAAAATTAATACGTGCAAGTATAGAACGTGCTAAAAATGATTTAGATATAACGGCTGCTTTTTCCGAAGCAACAAGTCTTTATTCATCGAAAGCATTTCGTACACAAGGTTTTCAAATATATGATGAAGTTATCTATGCAAAATATGATGATACACGTTTAGCTAGTCTAGCTGGTGAACATGATCGATGTCAATTAGTTGCTAAAGCCTTATAAAAAGGAAAAAAATAAATACTTTCGAAGTTTTTTTTTTGTATATCTTAATGTTGTCTGTTATCATTGAAAACCTCTTTTTCTGTCTGTTTATATCTGATTCTAAATATATTTAATATTTCTGCATTTATATGTACATATACATATATGTATGTGCGTTGTATGTAAGAATGATAAGGGTTTCGGTTCATCGATTTACTTGATTAGAATATAGAAGGCAAATGTATGTATGTACATGTGCAATAAATAAAAGTTAAAATAGTGATCGTAGAACAACTGTTTTTATGGCATTAGCAAATGTTATTGAACTATCTACGAGTGATGGCGGTAATATAAATGAAAATATTGATATTTTACCATCACTTTCGACTACTACATCTCAAATAAAAGTAACAACAGGAAATGAACCAATAACATTAAAAAATCGTTTGCATAGTCCATCTTCATCATCGAATCATAATGAAATTATAACTGTTTTGGCTGTACCAATAAAAGCTTCCCGTCAATTTAGTGTACAAAGTGGTGGTGTATTAAATGCAGATTCTGCTAATTATGTTCATTTTCAACGTTTACGTCTCGTAGCTTTCTGGTGTTGTGTTATTTCATTTCTACTTGATATTGGCCTTGGTTTATCAGCATTTATTAATTGTATACGATCAAAAACGTTTGTTGGTTTCTCATATTCAGTTGATACATTAATGGATTCTTTATGTACAGGTTTTGTTGCATGGCATTTAATGACAACAACAATTAATGATATGCATCGGCGTGATAGACTTGCTTGTTGTGTTATTGGTGCATTATTTATTGGTTCATTTCTTGCTATTGAATCTCGTGCTATACAAAGTATGATATTAGCTAGACCGGTTCGACCTGATATAGTTGTATTTACATATTCATTAATACATATTATATTATTTACTCTTTTATCAATTGTTAAAATTTTTATAAGTAAACAAATAAAATCGACAGCATTAATGGCTGATGCATTAAATTCTATCATTGGTCTTATTATGGCATTTCCACTATTATTTTGGGATCGTGTTACATTTTTAAATAAATTTGCACATCTTGATGATCTTGTACAAGTTTTAATGGCATTATTTTTATTTATTGCTGGATGGAAATTAATTTTAGATTCTATAACAACAATGAATGCTGAATATGCAAGAAATTTACGTGAAGAAAAATTACGACGAATGTTAAGAGAACATGATGAAGAAATCGATGCAGATTTTGATGCACTTGATATTGATAATCCTCGTATATCTATAGCACCAATTGTTGGTACTCGACGATTTTCTGTTATTTCAAATAGATAAATAAAATAGAAAAAAAAGAACATATTTGTTTTTCTAAAGAATGAATATCGAATGAATTTAACGTATTAGATTTATGATTATGTTCAAAGATTTTAAAATAAAATAAAGTTTTATATAATACATATTTTCTCAGCAAATAGAAAAGAAAATATCTGAATTTAATTTAACATTATTTAAATAAATAATTCATGGATGTTTTACATAAGAGAATTTGATCTGTTACAATGCATAAATTCATATTTGCATATGTAGTATAAAACTCTCCCTAATGTCTTACTTCAACGAAATTTCCCAGTTGAAAGAAATATATTTTTCTTTTATTTCACAGAAAGTAGGTTAATATAATATAGAAAGACAGACAGACATAACTAGCCGACAAGAAAAATAAATATATATATATCACAAATTAAGCATGTCATCTAATCGTTTATCTAAATTACAAAAATGTTTAATAATTTTTCGAAAAAGTTCTCGTTGATCTTGATGTAATTGTGCAAATAATGATGGTTCATTGTCTTCTGTTTGTAATGAATCTTGTTTAATACCACGATAAAATAGTTCAAGAAAAAGTTCATCAACAAGTGTATAAGATGTAGTTGATAAATCTTCGCTAGTTGTTCGTTCATAATCAACTTTTGTTTCATCTTCGCCATCGACATGCATTAATTGATTATGACTTTTTGATAATTGATCATCATCAGCTAGATAATTAAAACAAAAAGATGCAAAATTAGTTCATAGATTTATGGTTACAAACAAATCAGATCACAACATATAGTAGAGCCCATTGTGTCCATACTTTTTTAGACCCGAAGCCAGGTCCGGATCCGATCCTGATGAGCACTAGCCTAAACTCGACTTGTACTTTTAGATTCTCAGTAAATTTTTCTACTTGAAATCTGATAGTTGCTTCGAAAATAGTTTTGTTGTTGTTTTTTCTATTATTTTTATAAATTAATTTATGATTTTTTTAATAAAATGAATAAAAAATTAAAAAAAAATGTTATGTTGATAACATATTTCTTTCGATCCGGATCCGGTCAGTAAAAGCTTCGATAATCCGACCCGGGCCCAGACCCGATGGGCTCTAGCATATAGTTTAGTTTCAATGAGCAAAATAATCGATCTATATTAAAAGTTCAGTTTTTGAAACTAAACCTGCTAACTCCTATTCGTGTTCAGCAATTAGGTAGTGTTTGTTCCTGTTTCCTTTAGTACTTCATGGTGAGAGTAAATTAAACATTAGACTGTAACAGTAACAACTCGAATAGTCTCTACGATATCCCATTGTCGTTCTTCGAATATCAAGGTTAAAAATACTTATTATCAATAAAATCTAGCGGGTAGGCTGAGGGTGCGGCGCCCACCCAAAATACGAGACTCCGACAAAGCACTGTTAGGCGGCGCCCACTTAGAACTTTCATTTCACTCATCCGAAAAAGGAAAATCTGGATAAAACACTGCTCTTGTGATCATTTTAAGATTTAGAAAAAATTCTTACAAACCTGTTTTTCCATTTGTATTTGATTCATCTGTATCTTTTCTTTTATTCAATGAATGAGAATGTGTTCTCGATCGTTGTCTACGTGTTATATGTTTTTGATGATCACGTCTTTGCTTATCTTTATAACATGTATGTCCAATAATAAGAAAATATTGTAATAATTGTTTATTAAGAATTTTTAATCCATGTTTATAAATAAAAAAATTACATATAGATATACATGATAATAATAAAACACTATGTATTTGTACGATATCATCATGTACTAAAAGTTTAAGAACATTTTCAATAAGTCTCATTATTATTTGACAATGTTCATTTAACATTGTAATAAAATGTTCACATGTTGTATAAATTTGTAAACAATTAAATAAATTTTCTAAGATATTATTTATTGTTAATGAATCATTTTCAATTAATGCATTTATAGCTGTTGTTATTGATGTTAAAATTAGATAAGCAACTTCATTTTGTTCATTAGTTTCAAATAAATTACATTCATCAAATAATACACGTAATAAACAACTACATTGCTCAAGTAATTCTTTATTATAACATGATTGTAATATGAAACATAAGGGTTCATATGTTAATTGTACGTGTTCTAACATAAATACACGTGTATCTTGTCGAACAAATAATGTATAAATTAAACGAAATAATTGTACAAGTGTTGGACAATCTGAATAATCATCACTTGTTAATATAGATAAGATTGTTGAAAAAAGATTTGAATGTTGACTTATACATAGAGCAACACTTTTTGTTTGATTGTCTTCTGAAAGATTTCGTTTACAACATGCCATATTTGATAAAATACCAAGTACAATTTCAGTACAACGCTTGTCTTTACATTCAACAAGAACAACATTAAATAAATCAAGTGAATTAAATTCAATTAATAAATGTGCAACATCAGCACTCATGCTAACATCCCATAATTCACATAATTCTGATTCAAATGTTTCATCTAATTCTTGTTTCTTATTAGAATTTGTTGATAAAAAATCATCACCTTGTTGACGAATTCGCGTAAAATTTTCATCATGGAGTTGTTCAGGAGCAACAAACTGAAATTATAATTTTTTATAAAAAGAACCTTTTCTTTTCATATTTTACTTGTATTAATTTTAGTAAGACTTGACAAAACCATGATTTTGAATACATTTCATCACCAACCATATCTGCTCGACTAAGATTATCGACAGGTGGTGGTGAAGGATTACGCATAACACTTGGAGATGATGCTGATGATGATAATTGTGTATTTTGAGAATGATTTAACATCTGACGATGAGTTGAATGAATTGGTGGTGTAGAATCAAATTCGAAATGTTGACTAGGTGTGTCACGATCATTTGTTGAACGAAGTGACTAAGAAAGAAAAATAAATATATACGCATTAATAATATAATTATTGGTACTTACAGAAAACGATCCAGGATCGTTAGTGGGTGTAGGAACATTTGCTGTGGATGTCATTTTAACATGTATCTAAAAGAGATAAGGTGAAGGAATCAATTTTTTTGTGTTTTCTTTCATTTATTTAGAGTCTTTTTTATTGATAACCAATTCAGGATAACCACTTTCTTTGCACATTTCTCGTGAAAAGATTACATCCTCACACTCTGCCAACATAATTTCAACAGTAGTATACACAGTCATTGGATTACCATCTAAAACATGACCACCTACAACATTTCCTTTTCCATCTGAAAATGATCCATGTATATGTTGACCATCACTATCAATTGTTCCAACTAAACTAACAATTTCATGTGGTGTTTTCAATTCTATTGTATCCGTTGTATTTGCCAATCGTAAAAGAATTGCTTTTACACTTCCCACACACGTCATTATAAACACCGATCGAAGATTAGCTTCATTCATCAATGTTCGTATACTTGTTAGAACATCCTTATTAGGTGTTAACCGTAACGGATATACTCGTATTGAGGTTGATATTGGTTGTTTATTAGTCGAAGCTGACATTATATATTAATCTCAAGTAAAATAAAATAAAAAGAAAGTAAAAATATCAATTTAAAATATGAATCATAGAAGTTTCACCGTTGTTTTTATTTTCCTTTTTTTTCTTATATCTATTTACATAAACAGCATCTGAAAGATGACAAGAAAAGAAAGAAAGAAAGAATGTTTTTTTTTGTGTTGATCCTATGTCATAGTTATTCTTTTCGTGGTTGTGTTACTTCTTTTCGTGTTGCTTCTTGTAATAATTGCGTATCAACATCATCCGGTGGTAATTGAATATAACGTATAACAGAACCACGTACGAATGCTGATGTAACCGATTGTATATGAGGATATTTTTCTGGATCAAGTACTTGTACTTCAGTTAATTTAACATTTAAATATTGATCAACACTATGTAATGTACCAGTGATCGATAGATCATTTTTCAATTCAATAACAACATCTTTGCCAACAAGGGATTTAAAAAATGAATAGAATAACATATCTAGAAAAAAAACACAAACAAACAAAAATGAGAAAGAAAATTGATAAGTGTAAAATATAAAATTCGTTTAAGAGGAGGAGGAGAAGAAAAATAACGCTATACAAATTGCTTTGTCTTTATTTTTGTTCTAAGAACGATTGTGACGATTTCCTTCACCACGGTGATGATCATCCATATAGTCATCTTTTGATCGTAAATAACTGATCATATCAGGATCATCTCTTTCAACGTGTGCTTCTTTAGCAACCTCTTCTTTTTCCATATCACTGGCAGACGGAAGTTTAGGACCTAAATAAAAATGATATTAATTATAATTGAATATATGTTAATAGGGAGATTTATTATACCAGAAGCCATTGCTTTTGATTGTTCAGGTGTTGGTGCAAGACCACGTCGAGCAAGACTCTCATAAAATTCATCAATTGTCATTGTAGGTGCACTGGGATAGCCAAGACCAATTGCTTTTGATTGTAACATATCACGTGTAATCACCAATGGTTTTAAAGGACGTGAAGGAGGTAGAGGACCAGGTCGTCGATGAGATTCATCATCATTTGTTGGTTCTATTGATTTACGTTGAAGTAAAACTCGAAGTTCATCTATAAAGAAAAGCCTATTAAATTAATATATACTTCATATTTCATATTTACCATGTAAATAAACAAGATCATTTAATGCTGTATCTACCCACCATCGAATTTTACTTAAATAAAATTTACGTTTAGCTTCTTCATCACTTCCATCATGTTTCATTGCTTCTTCAAATGCTCGCATAGTTTCTTCTTCTTCACGACGTTTTAAATGACTAAATAAATAATATCATAAATACTTAACATCTACTGTTAATGACACTTACGCTTGAATTTTCGATGCTCGATCTTGTGCCATTTTCATCATATCAACATCTCTACTGTTCAATTGTTCCATATTACCACAATCATCATTCGTCGGTGCTTTTGGAATTGAATATTTATGAATTTCATAATTTCTTGTCATTGTTAAAAATTTCGAATAATAATCACATGCATGTTGAACATTAATAAGACGTTGTGATGGTTTTGAACGTTTGGTTTGATATAACCAAGCAAGATATGCATTGAGAAGTAAATAACGTATATTTGTTGTTGATACTTCATCAATACTTTCATTATCACTAAATAATTCAAGCGATATAAGACGCTTTTCTAATGATTCAAGTAAACGTATTGTATGAAGAAGTTTACTTGAATAATCATCTGTTGTTGTGTCAGCCGATGAACTTTGTAAATCATTTTGATTTGACCAAGCTATATCAAATAATTGTGAAACTGTTTGAGATTCTTCATTTATATTATCATTATCATTCGAATTAAAATGTTTATGAATGTCATTTGATGAGAAATTATGTGTTGGACTAGATGATGATTTTGTTTCATCAGTAGTTGATGATTCATCACAATGTGAATGTGAACTACAACAATGATGATCTGCCATGGATTCCGAAATATTAAAAATCTGAAATATATTAAAAACAATCATTTTTTTCTTCAAATGATTAACACAAAATTTTTTTTTATCCAAGTTCGGAAAACAACAAACAAAAACAAATGAGTTATAGATTATGTCAAATTTCTTAATGCACATTCTGTATTAAAACGTTTTAATTCATCAGATTCAAGTGCATGAAGTGCACGCGAATGAACACGAGACATTGTAACAAAATCAAGTGATTGATACTGTTTCAAATGATCCAAATAAGCAAGCCAAAGATCTAGAAAATAGAATTTGAGGCAAAAACAAAATTAATAAAATATTTTACCAGCAGAGATTTTTCCAAAATAGATAATGGCTTGTTCAAAAGCAGTTTTAATACGTTTATTATCGATATTTGATGATGATTGTTCGATTTTAATATAATCCATGTAGAACGGTAATGAAGCCGGTATTCGACTTGATAATCTAAGTGTAGAGAAACAAAAAAAATGAATGATGAATATTTTAAAGAATATAATTTTACTTGTCAAATATTTTTCGAACTTGTTGAATAGATTTTGTTTGATTAATCCATTGTAAATATTTCGATTTCATTTGTAATGCTACAGAAAGATCAAGTGATTCAAATTGAGATTGCTAGAAGAATTTAATTTTCATCACATATGTATAGTTTCGATTTTCTTACTTCAAATAATTCCTCTGTCCATTTAATATCATGTTCTTGTGCATAATCAATAATCGTATTCCAAATTAAAGCAGAATTCTATTCCGAAAAAAAAATTAATCGAAAAATTAGATTCGGAAAAAAAAGATTTACTTTAACATCTGAATGTTGATAAGCAAGTTTAAATTCTTTTTTTAATATTTTTGAATCAGCTGATTCTTCAATAAATAACGATAAACGTTTATTCCAAAGTGAAGAATCATTTGGATATTGATCAGTAGCTTTTTGAATAACAACTTTCGCTCGATCATGATCAACTATCGATACCTAAAGACAAAAAAAGCGATAAAATAGAAAAAATTCTTGTAATCATACCCATTCTAAATAACGTTCAGGTGTTAATGAAATCTGTTGACTAGCTGATGAGAATACTTGATCACATGTAGAGATATGCTAAATAAAGTAGAAATAATAGACTCTTAACAATATTCTATTTCTAAATATTTACCTCAGTTTTATTTGAACTCGCTGCTTGAGTTAAACGTTGTACACAAAAATCAAGATATAAATTCCATAATTCATCTAAATAAATCAATTAGATAAATCAAAAAATAAAATTATTCTTACTTTTATTCACGGTTGATTTTTTTAATTGTTTTTCATAATTTTCTCTTACTTGTTGTTCAAGTACAGCAATCATAAAAGCTATGTATAATCAATTATTTGATTGTGATATAGATTAGAAAAAGAATATTCCTTACTGACGTCTTGATCTTTTTTTGCAGCTTCATCAAGCATTTTACGTTCATTTATTAATGGACGTTGAGCTATTAATGATTGTGCAAGTGCATTGGAAGAATATTTTTCTTTTAAACTAATATTACGAATAAAATAAAAGAAATTATTTTAAATATTTATCTTACATTGAATAGATTTTGTTAATAAATGATTCAGCGAATGAAAATTGTGAGAATTCATAGAGAATTTGAATGAATGAACAAAGAAATACTGGATCATCTGAAAAAGAAAGAGGTAATTCGTTTAAATAAGAAATAGTTGTATTATTTTGTACAGACTTTCAATAGTTGATTGAGCATTTTGAAAAACAATTTCAACAATTTTGCCTTGTAATATTGCATCTTCTTCATTATCATTCGTTTCCAGTTTCGTCCGATCAAGTACAGCTTGTCGTTTTTGTATTAATTCAACATAGAGTAATTCAAATTTGAAATACTAAATCAACAAACAAATTAAATTTTTCGAATATTTCTATCAAACAAATTTACTTCAAGCCAAAGTTTCTTCTCTTGTGGCATTAAACGAAGAGCACGTTGAAATAATGAACGAGCTGATGATGGTGATACCATTGTTTCAAATTCAAATTTTGCTGCCAATATCCATAACCCTTAAGAAAATCTTCTACTAAATCTTAATCATAAACAAAATTGAACTTACAATATTTATTGCCATGTGTTTGTAATGCAGATGTATATGCACTTGATGCTGTTGAATAATCATGCTATGAAGCGAAAGATTAGCTTTTAATATTGAGGAGAAAATTTTTCTTACTTGTTTTGTAAGAAATTCAATAAATGTTAACCATAATTGAACATCTTTTTTAAATCGATGACATACACTCTAGAATAAGAAGTAGATAAACATATAAATAGTTTTGAATTTATCTTTACTCGAAAAAGTCGTTCAATACGTCGTTTAATTGCTAAATCAATTTCATTTTTTTTATGTGTTCTTCCTATTTTTAATTTCTAGAAATAAAAGTATTTAAAAACAAATTATTCAAAATATATATATTTACCTCTCGACGTAATTGTATAAGTTTAAGAAGATGAGTTTCATACTAAAATTCATTTCTATAATTTTTAATAATTTGAAAATATTTTTGATCTACTTTTATATAATCAAGATAACATTCTTTTTCTTTTGTTCGTCGAATGATTTTATATTCATGGCGTCTTCGTGTTCGAACCATTTTTCTATTTACAAAAGAAAAAACCAATAAGTATCAAATTTTAATCTAATCTTATCATTGAAAATAGTTTCATGGACGATAACTTATAGAACTGATCCTTTGACATACTTTATTTCTGCTTCTGTAAACAAACCAATTCGTTTAGCTTGTTCAAATTCAGATAGCATATCTTCTAAATGACGTTGTACTACTTCAGCCATGATTTCGTTTAATCTAAGAATATCAAATAGAAATTAATTATCTATTCAATCAATATATATTTAAATATGTTCCTATCTAGATCAGAAAGATATACATATATATATTCAAGTTTTATCTCCGAAGAGATTAACTTTGGTGTAATATATCATTCTATAAAAAGATCTATTTGACAGTAAAGATATTACGAAATAAACGAAGAAAACCTTCATTTGAGAATATCTTTAAAATAATTTCCGAAGATTTTACTAAGATTTTATTCATAAAATAGAATAGAATCTACTCTAATCTTCGATTACTTTATTTTGATTAGAATTATACACTTACCAATTAAATCGTTCACTTTTCAAAATAGAAAATTTATCTTTAAAAAAACAAGAAAAAACAATAAATAAACAAATGGATATATATTATAACCAGTCAGTACTAACGTAGAGTCCGAAAATCTCAACAGCTGATAATAGATGTCGTTAAAAAACTTTAGTTCACATTCTTTCATCATTGGGCATTTTAGTTCTATATGTTCTTTTATTATCTCTAACGATAATATGACTACGAGTTCATCCATTGGTGAAAACGATATAAAATTCAATTCTTCATCATCATCTTCATCCGTTTGTTGGCAAGCACGTGATGCTTGGTGGAAATGTTTAGATTTATACGATAATTGTGAATCGAAATGTCAAAAACAAATTGAACAACTTCATCAAGCTTGTACTCCTAAAATGGTATTTAATAATAGAAATGTTTTTCTCAATAATTCATATTTATTTTTAGGTACAATTTTTTGAGGAGAGACGTAAGAAATTAACAGAAGATAAACCAAATCGAAAATTAATGTTACCACAAAATGCTTTACATAATTATTTAACTGATTTTCGAAATAATGCGAATCATAATTTTTTCTCTCATCAAACCGGTTTTCCCTTTGATGATGATGATGATTAAAATCATTGTAAATAATAATCGTATTACTTATCACGTATACAAATGAAAAATGTTTTGCTTTCTTTTATTCTTTATCTATTTGCCTTCCAGTATCTCAAACCAAAAAAATCTTATATTTATTTATTTAAGATATTTCACATAATTTTTCAATGGCGACTGCTCGTCCTTCGCCTACTACGACTTCTTCTTCTTCTTCTTCGGCTACGGTTGTTCATCAATTAGTTGAATTATTTCGTACAAATGGACATCGAGTTTTACATGGAGATAGTAAAGTGTGTTTTACATCGGATTCACTTACATTATTGAATAATTATTTTCAAGCAGCTAAATTTGATATTATATTACCACAAACAAATGATCGTGTAAGAACGAGTTCAATACCGCCACTGCCACCACCACCACCATCCGTACAAAATTTAAGAATTAATACACGACTTAGAGAAGATTTAATATTTTTACATGATTTTTTAAAGAAAATTCACGCTGTTAAAGTATGTCGATGATATAAAATAAACGGATTATTTCTTATATTATTTAAATAGTTAATTCATCATGCAGGAACTCTTCAAGGAAATGTTTTTCTCTATCCATTTCAACATGTAGTTTGTTTGGAATTAAAAAAAATACCACCACATATGGTCTCTGGTTTATCTATACTTCGTCCTCAACTTGAAACATTAATATGTTCTCAATCAGTAACAAAAATTGAAGTAAGATTTTTATTCTTTTAATATTTTTCTTATAAAATAATTTTTAGGATTTAATAAGTGATTGCGGTGGTGATTCTGTACAGCCGGAGAAATGGCCTCGATTAAAATCACTTTTTCTTGCTCATAATTTTATTGAACGTATTGATCAATCTTTAGTAAGAATTCAATTTGATCTAAAAAAATTCCTCAAAATTCGTTTATTTTTTTTAGAAATATTTAATCGCACTTGAAGTACTTGATTTAAGTCATAATCGATTACAAGATTGTTCAAAAATATTAGAAGCAAGTTATTAATAAAATCAAACTCGTCATAAATATCTTTTTGTAATAGATTGTACCTCATGTAAAACATTTAAATCTTTCATCAAATCAATTACGTAATGTACCAATATGGCCGGAATATAAAGGTCCATGTCGATTATTTACACTTAAAATGCGTCAAAATTGTCTTGAAGACGTAACGGGTAAGAAAAAATATTTTCTAAGAAAAATAAAATTAATTTTATTTTCTTAAGGTATCGAAATAATGAAATCAATTGAAGAATTAGATTTAAGTGATAATTTTATAACACTTATACCTGAACAAATTCGTTATATGCCAACAATAAAACGCGTAGGAATTTATTTTAAAAATTCTAATTTATTCTTTTTTTTGTTTTAGCTTTCTTTTGCACGTAATCCATTTACTTATGCTACGAATTATCGACAACAAATTATATACAATTTACCATATGTTTTTTCTCAAGAAGCTCGAGAAGTTAGTTTTTATTTTTCTAAATATTTGTTAAATTTTACATTTTAGCTTTTAATCGATGATCAACAATTGACATCAAAAGAAAAACAAGTAGATTTTTTCGATTATTGAAATTTAATATTGATTTTGTTTTTAAAGCGTATTCCAAGAAATCGTAATCGTCAACAACCTCTTGTTTCAGCATTTCGTCCTTATTCACCATCTTCATCCGCACAAAATACAACCACAAGTGAATCAACAACTGAACCAGAATCAATTACATCGAATTCTTCAGGAACAGTTGTTGTTAAAAGGTACGTTGTAAATACAATAATCTTGAAGGCTATCGTGATTAGATAATACTCGAAAGGTCATATATGATTGTATTCATAGATAAGTGATTTTAATTCCTACAATTAAAATATTGACGATCGTAATCAGTCTCTTAAAGAATAATATATTCGAATGATCGATAGATATATGAGTTGATAGTAAAAAATGAACAATCTTTGTCTTTTTTTTAATCAATATGGTATTTGATCTATCTTTATTTGTTTGTATAACCTTAGAAATTTAATCCAATTCATTTTGAATGCTAGAGAATTTGTTCTTTAAATAAAATTACAATAATTTTAAGCTTTTCTAGACGAGGGCGGCCAAAGAATCGACCAGGAAATTTACGAACACTTGATGCAGATGAAACACCAACAGAACATGGTAAATAACTTAAATTTATTTATTTAGTTTTTTTATCCCCAAATATATTTTTTTAGCTACATCTGGTTCTGATAATGAAACAGGTTCACAAAGACGTCGTTTAAAAAATTTACACGAAACACTTCAAGATATTGATGGTACTAATCATACATCCCAAACACCAGGCTCTAGAAATATTTATCAATCAACAATATATGAACAAGATGATAATATATTAAAATCGCCAACATCTGTTGCAAGTAGTATACCACGTAAATTAGCAAATGATTTATCACAAGTAAAATTTCATTATCTATTTATTAAAAAAAATGCAAAATATTTTTTTAAGTCTCCAAAACGACGAAAAAGTCCACGTTCTCGTAGAGCCGATCCACCAACAAGAATTGTTTTAGAAGTTGTTGATGTTTCAAATACAACATCAGATGAAACACCAGTACCTGATTCACCGATATCTGAAAGAAATGCTTCGATTAATAAAAATTATCAAACACCAATACCAGTTCTTGAGCCAAAAGAAAATCCTGTTGATGAAATAAATACTGGCGGTATAGAAAAAAATATCTTCTTCCTACTACATATTTATATTCATTTAGCTGTTCAGATAGTATACGAACAATATTTTTTATTACTGATCAAACATCAAATGATACGAATCGTTCATTTACAATTGAAATCGATCCAATGTATTTAATAGAAAAAGATATTAACGATGAAGATTATTCAGAAAAAATTAAATATTCAACAATTAAACTTTTAAATAATAATGAAAGGTAATAAAAAAACAACTGAAATTAGAAAAAAAAATCTTTTATTAATATTTAGTAATCAAAAAACTGTTGAATTTACATTTGAAAAACGAAGAAATGAAGTTGAAAGAAGAATATATTCGTTTGATACGAAACAAGATCAAAAGGTAAATATAATTTTATAAATTATTATGAAATCCTTTTTTGTTAGGCATTTGTTGAAGAAATTGAACGACATTTAGAATTATCAGTACCAATTGAATTACCAAATGGTGCACCTTTATTTATTGAGGTTTGAATAATTATTTATTAGAAAAGAATCATTGATTTTTTTCCGAATTTAGTGTACAAAATGTGGAAAATATTTTCCACCACTAACTTCAATGAATCATACAGGTTAGTAGAAAAACAATCATTTCGAGACCTTCGCATTTGATTTCAATGATCTGTTTTCCGCTACTTGAAACTTCGATAAAATGACAGCTCAGAAAAACCTCTAGTTATGACTTTTAATAGAATACTCTATCGTAGTTATAGATTAAAAGAAGCTTATGCAGAGAATTTATCATCTCCAACTATTCTTGTGTGTTCTATAGATAATACGTCGTCGGCTATCTGTATGGCTTGTCAAAATGCCATCGTAACTCCACCAATTGAGTGAATATAATCTATATTTTTCCTTTTATTTTTACTTATTATTATCTATATTAGAAATTTTGCTGCATTACAATTACAAACAACGATGACTGTATCATCCGATCAAGCCGATCTCGATCATCGATTACATTTGCATGTAGTAACTGAACACTTTACACATAATAATGAACAAATCAAACTACATTTTAAAGTAAATAAGAAACAGAATACATAGATATACATTACACTTTAACTTTTATGTAGTGTTTCGTTGTTCGTTCAACAACAAGTAAATATTTTATTGCTCAAACAATTCTTACGGATTATGGAATTTATATATTTCAACATGAAGCGTATGCTTTAAAATATATATGAATTACATAATAATTACGTTGATTTTCTTAGATTAAGTACTGATTTCGATTCTGAATATGTTCTTGTTGGTAAAGATCTTTTAACGAATGTTCTTATGCTTGATATTGGTTATCGATTACAAACATTTACGATTGAATTACAATCAGCTGCATTTGCTTTTCTTCTTGCTGATCAACAAAAAACACAAACGATTGTCAATCATATACTTGGTAAAGACGAATTTATTAGATAAATATTTGATATTTCGAGTTTGTCTTGTAAATTTTAATAGAAGTTCTTTCACCTGTTGTTCAAAGTGGCGAAGGAGCTTTACAAAAAATTAGTCGTATTAGTTCGGATGAATATCGACAACGTTTATTTGATATTATTAAAATTGAATGTAATATTGATGAACCAAATGATGATATGATTGATTTCTATTCAATTATGATTCGAATGGATCAAGGTTAGTAAATACTTGCTCTCTCATTTATTCTCTAAACAAATTTAGTATCTTAAATAAGTCCTGACTGAACTGTACTAAATACAAGTTATTATGTATTTCCCAATCTCTCTAAATATTATGTCATTGATTCTATCGTTACAACTTTGTTAATTGATATATCTGATCTAGTCTATATGTATATAGCATTGTTTAGATTTATAGTTGTGAAAACAAAGAAATTGCTATAATTATATATCTATATGATATCCAGTTTCTCTGTTCTGTCCAGATAGCAACCAATAAAAAATATAAACTAACATTTCTGATTAATGATACTACTCAATTTATTGTGTACAGTTCAAAGGGATGAGCAATCATATATGGCAAAAGAAAGAAAAACACACTGAGTGTCATCTAACAATTAATGATCGTAGTGTAGATCTTTTTCATAACTTTTATTATCTATTTTTAGCTGGTAATAGTCAAATGATTGCTTTATTACTTCTTAAAAATTGGATTTTAATGATTGAAGATGCGTATGCAACAATTGATTCACGTCATGTTCGTTTACCTGCTCAACCTAGTTCAGAATCCGGTACAAATCTACAATTAAAATGTGATCTTATGCATTTAGTTAACGTTGTAAGATTTTTATTTATTTTTTTATGAAATTAATTATTTTCTTTAGACAAATTATATTAATCACGCACAATTATTTGTTTTTGATTTTGTTGATGAATCTGAAACAAAAGAATTTCGATGGAAATTAGAAAGTTTAACAACTGATAGTAAAAATGAATTTTTAACAAAAGTTCGCGATACTTATAGAACATTTATGGATATTCCTATGCCAGAAAAATTTGTATGTACAAAATTTCTTTTGTAATTAATAATTTCTTCTTTATTTTTTTAGGAAATGGTATAATAAACATTTATTTGGAATATACATATATGTGTGTTTTTGTCTGTTTATTGTTTCATTGTAATCTATTTTTTTTTGTATATTAATGAAACAAAGATTTCTCGTTGATTAAGAATAAAAATTTAACTTATATAAATTTAATTTTAGAATAAAAAAATTATGTGTGATCTTTTTCAAGCTAATCCATGGAAACCATTATTATGTACAAATTGTCATCAAAATCGATCAGGTCATCAAATAATGGAAAATACATGTGAACATCTATCACCGAAAAAATCAAGTGATTTACCAGCATCAACATCATCAATGCATCTTTATGAAGAAATTATGGCACAGTATTTTACAATAAATACAACAGATATAGATTCATTAAAAACAACATCTGTTATTGAACGATTACCAACTCCAGATGAAAATGAACTTATTGATGATGATGATGTTGAAGAAGATTCATTTTCTGATGAAGAACAAGATTTAATGAAACCATCAACTATTGAATTTATTCAAAATCAATCTATGATTAATACACAAGGAATTGTTCTTATGGGTCCTGATTTACCAATAAAACAAGTAACAGCAACGATCACAAAAAAATCAAAGAAAATGAATCTATTAAGAAAAAGTAAAAGTAATGCAGATGAATGCTTGAAAAAGACCGATATGAATTATAATAATACATCAAAATCATGGTGGTTTAAAGTCAAAAAAGCCAATACATCTCCAGTCAATCAAATAGAATTAACAAATGAATCAAATAAACCAACTGTATATTTCATTTTTTTTAATTATTCACAAAAATATTTCATGATATTTTTTCATTCTAGATTTCAAGTCCGCCATTAAGTTGTCAAACTCCACAACAAAGAGTTCGTGTTTTACCGGAAATCAATAAATTAACATTAAGTGAAGGTATTTATACTTACTTTATTTCAGTCAAAACTGAAAGCGAAATAAAACTATATCCGAGATCATTAATCAGAATACAATGACTATATTTGTTTTTCTTTTAGCATTAAATATTGCTCGACGTCAACATTTATTACCTAATCGTGAACCCAAATTAATTCTTCCTCATAAACCATATTGTTCTCCAATTAATTCAACTGGTCAAGCAAATTATGGGTCATCAATTGCTTCTACAACATCATCATCAACCCAATCAAGTGCTGAATATGATACTGGTGTATTAAATAATTCAATAAAAGAAGAATCAACTTATTTAACTGCTACATCACCTGTTATTGAAAATAATAATAATCATTCTCTTATAACAATGCTTGATAAAATAAATAAGTTAACTATTGAACGTCTTACATTTGATCTTCGAATAATCATCGATGAATATAAACATAATCTTCCCGTCGCTCGTTTTCAAACATTAAAATCTTTTCTTCATCAACATCAATCATCAAAAATTTTATCAAATGAAGCAATTTATTTCGTTCTTTTACAAATCATCGATGAATATTCTCATCATTCAACTGATTCATTAAAAATTATAACCATCGATCATTTTCTTATTGCACATGATTCAACAATACCTATTATTGTAACAACAACATCATCGGTTACAAATGAAGATCAATCACTTGAAAAATTTATTAAAAATCTTTCGAATCAATTATTTGATTCATCATCATTACCAATATTTAATGATCTTTTAACATTTGAAAATATTTCTTATCGTTATTTATCCAAACAAATTCTTCAATTTTCAAATGTAGATATTGATCATAATATATCAATGCAACGTGTTAAATTACTCGATTTATTTTGGAATAAAATACATTCATTACGAAATATTCAAATCAATGAAGAAAACGAACGATTTATTTTCGCACATTATCATCTCATGCGACATATTTGTCAGTCAGATAGTTTAATATAGATATGAATAATAATAATAATCTTATCTCAGGAATTCTACGCACTCATCTCAGATAAATGTTGTTTGTTTTTTATGTATTTTATATATATCATAATTTGTTTGATGTACGTGTTTTTAAGTATTGTTTTTTCTCTGTGGCACATTGCATGTCTAGTATTTATTGAACGCTCAATTTTGTCACGATTAAAATTTTTTTCACAATAATAAATCATTTACAAAATCTAGCAGATAGTTCCAGATTATTTTGATTCAACTAGAGAAATAACATAAGACTAATAAAACTTGCGAGTTAATATTTGTTATTCTGTTTTCAATGAAAAATAAAAACTAATGAATACTAAAACTATAAAAAAATAGCAAATAGTTCTTTCTACAAAAGAATAAATGTAAACTAAAATTACAATGTTTATTCGTTCATCTAACGTCACTTTGTTGCTCTTGCTAACCAACAGCTAGCATTAACAATAAAACGTGCTGTACCTGCTGAATTCCAATTAATAAATAATTTCGTAAAACCACAATCTAAACATAAACGTCCTTCAGTAGACCCTATGGGTGGATCGAATGCAATAATACATGGATTTCCATCAGTTGCTGTTGCTAGAGTAGTTATTAATGTTCGATTTGTTGACATAGAATAGACAGGATGACAGATTGTAACACCTTCGAATAAATGTTTTATTCCCGTAAAAATTTCATGTTGACCAAAACGTCCGGCCTGGAAATAACCATCTTCATTAAATGCGAGTGTTTTATTACCTTGATAATCACCCGCAAGAACAATACCGAATTTTTTATAGAGAAATTCCGATGCATGAGATACATAAGGTACATTATCAGCAAATAAAAAGACAGCTCCACCATTGGAATGAAAATCTATTAATGTTGAAATAAATGATTTACTATCAATAGAACTTGAACTAATAACCCATGCAATTTGATAATGATTTGATCGAAGTTCAGATATAAAATCAATTTCATGTTTAACATTTTTCACGGAAAAACCTTTGATTTCTAATGCTTCAATTGGCGCTTTCATATCTCCACTTTTATAAAATTGCCCAATTAAAATTCGATAGCCAACAAATGCACCATCTCGACCTAAATCATATTCTCTATCTAAAGGATTACTGTACTGATCGTACAAATTAGCATCATCAATTATACATTGCCCTGCTTTTACATTGTAAAATTTCGGATTTGGCTACAATTAAAAAGTAACTTATAGATTTTTGTTAAACTATGTAAAACTTACTTGAAAGTAATTCAATATGAATTGATGAATAGTTTTGTAATAAACTAGAATATTATCATAGATCATATGAGGAATAACGAGCCATATGAGAAAAATAAATTTTGCAAAACAAAAAAAGCGAAGATTCAAATATAAACTATCGCAAAGATAATCAAAAAAGCCGAACAATACATAAACTATCCAATAGATGAACCATTTTGCATCATTATTTGTTAATGATAAATCAATCGCTAATAATCTATATAAATATAATAAATGCAAAGATATGAATCTTTCAAATATCTTAAACTTACACGACATAAAATGAAACAAGAAATCCAATGAAATTTCCAATAAGATGAATGTTCCAACCAAAGATTAAATAAATAATAAAAATGGTAGCTATAACTAAAAAGAAACTAATACGATAATCCTAGAATTTACAAATAATTTTATATTACAATGAATAGTTTCTTCTTGTTTAAGTTCTACTATCTGTTTTGCTGATGATAGAAATGAACTAATCTGTTTGTTTGAATTAAGTAACTTGAATTCAGGTTCAATCTGATGAATTAAATCTTGAATTAAATTGCGCATCTTAACTTATCATTGATAATAGATTGTTGTATTATGAAAAAAAGAAAATGATTGTAAAATAACGATAACATAATCTTTTGCATTTACAGTACATGTACTTATACAAAGACAAGAGAGAGGAAACAGGAGTTTTTATTTATTTAAAGAGTATGCTTCATAGAACGTCATGGACAACTTTTCAAAAGAACGATACAAGTGGAATACTTTTAAAACATAACCTTCGATATTTCATGGTCATTTTTAACTTATATGTTCATACGATAAATCTTATGTAACTACTTACATGATTAAAAGACGATTAGTGAATACCCGCGGATTCACAGTCTCAAAATAGTAAACAACGACATGAAAATGATGGTTTTCTTTATTTAGAAGAAATGGCAAAAAAAAAGAATCTAGACGAATGTTATACATCGATTTTCCATAGTCATAAAAAGTCAATTATGTGTACTATTATTTTTTAACTGTCAACAAAGAAAAATGAATATAAACCATTTTTAGTGTAAGGTTTCATTCAATAGTTTTGAATATGAATCCGATTAAACATGAATATTCTGATATTCCTGAGCAATTCATTCTTTTCAGTGGCGTAAGCAGGTCTGGGTCATTGCACAATTGCCCAATGAGTTTTCGGAAGCGAAAGTATCAATAGCAGGAGTGGCGCGAGTCAGCCAACATTGGGGGAGGGGTGTAACGAAATTTTTTCGGGGGGGTGTAGCATCATCTTTGGTAAAAAACCTAAGGTGATTTGCCGATTTGGTTCAGCAAAAAATAGAGATTTTCGAAGATTAGGCGGTGTTACACCCCCAATCGCGCCACTCCTGATCAATAGTCAGTTTTTTAATTGCTTAATATTACCGATGACTGAAAATTTTTTAGCTACGCTATTGATTCTTTGCAATAGATAATTTAGTTTAGTTTTAATTCGTAGAAAAATAATTTAATCAAGAAAAATTATAGAAAAAATTTTTTTATTTATAAAATCATCGAAATAATTTAAGTGCTCCATATTGAGGATCGACTTGAGTCATATCTTTGTAAAGTGCCATGCCAGTATTACGAAATTCTTGTTCATATATGACTTCCTCATTTTGAAGTAATGTTGCCAGAGCTGCTTGGCGTGCCTATTAAAATAAAAAATATTAATATGGGTCGATGCATTTCTATTTCTAATAGATTATATTTCTGAGAAGAAAAAAAAACACATACAGTAAGATGAGCTTTGCGAAGTAATATTAATTCTTGATCACGTTGTTTATGTGCTGCTGATTCTCGTGCTGCTACATTTGACCAAGCTGATTGTTCAGCCCAATTCGTTGTAAATTTTGCATTTTTATTACTAAAATACAATACTTATTACACTGTTGTTTCTATATTTTGAATAATATTAAATATTACTGGTTGAGTTCTTTCAATTGTTTGAGATGCACTTCTTCACCCTAATTAAAAAAAAATGAACTTATATATTATTCATCATAATTAGTTAATGGACTCGATATTTACTTCAGCAACTTTTTGCATTCGAGCAGCACTACTATCAGGTTTGCCTTTATTCATTTCATATCGAAATGATGTTGACATCAATCGATCTTGTGTTGAAATACGAACAGGTTTTCCTAATAATAATAAATTTATTTAAGATTTCGTGTATACAGCATATATATACCTTGTTGATTCATCGTTATTGTTTATAAATTTATCTGCAATATATTAAATTAAAATGAAAATCAATACATTAAGATTCTATTATAGATCTGAAATTGAAACCACCAAACATATTCCATTTATGTATTCATTTCTTATCAGTTGTGGAGCAACAAACATATTCTTTTCCTTTTTTTTTATTGGCTAGATCTTTATAATCAATCAGATTTAGTTTCCTGTGAGTTAACATTACGACTGCGCATAATAACAGTAGTTATATATTTATTGAGATAAAAAAAAGACTAATTATGAATTCTCAATCTTCAAACGACGAAAAACTATTAAATGAGAATGAACAACAATCAAATGATGAAGATCATATTCAACGAAAACGATCTCGAGTTGGTTCTCATCCAGATGAATTAACTGATCAGAAGATTGATAATGTTCAAACAACTGAAACATCATCAGAACCTATTGAAAATCATGAAATATCTGATGATAAACAGACAGAAGATAATAATGGATCAATTAAACGACGTAAATTAAATGTTGATATTGAAGAAATAATTAATCAAGAAGAAAAAACAAATGATTCTGTACGAACTACATCTACAAAAAATAGTGAATCAAAAGATGAATCTTCATCAACGACAACTGATGAAGATGATGATGAAGATGATAACGATGATGATGACGACGATGATGATGATAATATAAATCATGAATTAAATTTACCACCAACAACAAATATTCATTTACGTCTTCGACAACGTGAACTTGGTATTTTTCATCGATCAAAAGGACGTGCAACATGTCAAACATTTCATAATAATATAATAGCTAGTCGAAATCTTGTTCAACGAATGAAAGTATCACATAAACTTGATCAACATAATGGTTGTGTTAATGCTTTATCATTTAATCGAACTGGTAATAGAAAACGTTTAATCTTTCTCATGATTTTATTTTATTTAAAAAATATTTGCAGGAACATTATTAGCAAGTGCATCAGATGATTTACAAATTATTTTATGGGATTGGAGTTTAAATCAACCAGCTGTTTCTTATGAAAGTGAACATCATGGTAATGTTTTTCAAGTAAAATTCTTTTTTCTTAAAAAAATTTTGTTATCGAATAAATAATAATTTTGTAATTAGGCAAAATTTATACCATTTTCGGATGATTGTAAAATTGTAAGTTGTGCACGAGATGGGCAAGTTCGTTTAGGTGAACTTCATCCTGATGGAAGATTTAATCGAACAAGAAAAATTGCTCAACATACAGCATCAGCTCATAAAGTATTTCATTCAAATGATGAACAAAAGTTTTTTTTATTTTCTTCATATTTATATTTTAGCTTTCAGTTGATAATATAACAGGTACTGATATATTTTCATGTGGTGAAGATGGTCTTGTTTATCAAATTGATATACGAGAAAATAAAGCACATAGGTATACTTTTAAAAAACAAACACCATTGCTTTTATCACAATTTGTTTTCCTTCGTTTATTAGATTACTGACAATAAATAGTGAAACAATGAATAAACTACCACTTTATTCAATTGAACTTAATCGAAATAATCAAAATGAATTTGTTCTTGCCGGTATGGATCCATATATACGTGTATTTGATCGAAGATATATCGAAGCTCATACAGCAAAACCATTAAAAAATTTTTGTCCAGATTTAGTTGTAAGTTAAGAAAAACGAAAATATGAAAAAGAAAACTGAACGTTGATGTATTATAGAAAAAAATTGAAGATCGTCGAAGACAACCATCTGTTACCTGTGCTGTTTATAATCATGATGGAACTGGTTAGTAATTAAAGATTATTCTCTATAAAAAGTCCAAAAGTTTTCGTGTGAATGGTAGAATCAATTTAGTTCAAGTCTTAATAAACTGTAGACTTACAATATAAAATGAGTATTTCATTTTGTTTTATAGAAATTCTCGGAAGTTATAATGATGAAGATATTTATTTATTCAATGCAACACATTCGGATGGTGCCGATGCTATTCATCATTACCGTGGACATCGAAATAATAATACAGGTGAGATAAATCATTTTTATCTTAGAGATTACTAAGAAAAAATCTTCATTTGTTATTTAGTAAAAGGTGTAAATTTTTATGGTCGTAATTCTGAATATGTAATCAGTGGAAGTGATTGTGGTCATGTATTTATTTGGGATAAAAACTCTGAAAAATGTATTTGGTATGATAAAGGTGATGATGATGGTACAGTGAATGTTCTTGAACCACATCCACATTTTCCAATTATTGCAACAAGTGGTCTAGAAAATGATATTAAAATTTGGACACCGATTAGTCAAGAACCAGTAGATTTCAAACGTCTCAATATGGTAAATAATAAAAGAGAATTTTATTTAGTTTTTTTTATTCAAATTTAGATTATGAAACGAAATGCCCGTGAACGTGAACATGAACTTCATTTTGCTAGTGTACTTGATACAGATACAGGTGGTATATTACGTCTAATGCGTCCTGTATTTCGACGAATGGTTCGACGAGCTGTATGAATTTTATTTTTATATAAATGAAATTTTTATTTTTTTTTTTTTGTTAAAGAATGCTGAAGATGATGAACATACGGATGAAGATGATGATGACGATGATGATGATGATGATGTTGACGAAGATGATGAAGACGATGAAAGTGTATCACAACAAACCCGACAAATCTATTCATTTGATTGTGCACCATCATAAAACCATGTTGATCTGTTAGGATTCAAAATACTTTAGTCAAGCATAAGCAGTTTATGATAGCAATCAACTATATGATTGTCTTTCGTGCATTTTCTGTACATTCATATGTGTATGGACGTTTTTGTTTCGTTAATCTAAATCATGATAATCATTTTGTCATGTATTTTTATTTTGTATTAGATTGTATATTTTCCCCTTGTTTTTTTTCTTGTTCTTAGAAGATGACAATACAAAAAAAAACTAAAACAAAGAGAAACTGTTCGAACTCTTTATTATTAGTTTTGATATAGTTTAACTATGAAACTCTAACATCATTTTGTTCTACTGATATTTAAATGTGTTATAATTCAAGCAAGAAGATACTTGAAGTCTTTACAACTCACTTAAATCCTCGATATTTTACTATCGTTTTTTATTGATGACTACGAGGATGTATAAGACACTGACAATGATTCTCATTGTTTCTGAATTCTCTAATTGCATTGGTATGACTAAATTATAGATTCACTTGAATTATTGAGAATACAAAAATGATGCACTATTGAACATAAAACCAATTAATGTCAATCGTAAGAAGAATCTTTGCTGATAAAAACTAATTATTTATTTATTTCAAGATAAAAAAATACAATCTTATACTGTTATCAATCATACACAGACAATGATTAAATATTATGCATTTTTTTTGTGCCATAAAACAAAAAATTAGAAAAAAAAAGTATATTGAAGTATAAATAAAGTATATATATATATATATATATATGGAAAGATGATACTACGATTAGATGCATGCACATAGGAAAGACAATTTTCTCAATTTATGTGCATAATTTGATTATTTATTTACTATGATAATATTAACGGAATGACTAATTAAGTAATTCATGTTTATTATAAACTGATTGTCGTTGTTGTTGAACCTGAAAATGACAAAAAAAAGATATATTTCATGAAATAATATAGAATAAGAATAATATTTATACATTTTTTCTCCATTTCGATTGTTCATGTGTAACTAAATTTAAGACCGTAGATGAACGATCTGTATTACGTGTTAAACCACTTGCAGGAGCAGGTTCACTAAATATACATTCTTGTGTTGGATTATCTAGATGAAGTTCATCATTAACTTGTCTTTCATAATGTCTTTGTGGTCGTGTGGTATTTGATGTTGTCGTAGTTGCTGTTGTTGGTTTTTTATTTTGATTCATCAACGGATCAAGACATAATAAAAATGACATATAAATAAATAATAATGATATAGCAACCATTATTATAATTACTACAACCTTTTAAAAATAATAAAAGAATGATTTAAGTTTTTCTTTTTTATAAGCAAATTTACCTTCATTGTTGTTGTATTACGTACTTCATAATTACACACACAACTGTACAAAAATAAAAAAACTTATTTTGTTGATGTTTATGAAAAACTTATTTTACCGTGGGCAAAAACGTTGTTGAAAACTAGATGATGCTGTTATTGTATGAAAAACAACACGTTCGCATGTACAATTATCCGGTGCAACAACATCTATATAAACACGACGATGTGTTTCATTCATTGATGGATCTTGTAAAACTGTAAATGATGGACAAATACATCGACAACGATAATCTTCAAATTCATCACCACCATAAGTAACCAAGCATACGGAAGAAAAGAATAATACTAATATAATTAGACGATTTAACATAATTTATCTCTTTTATAAAATAAAAATAAGTCTAAAATAATAAAAAAACGTTTATCTTCTGACGACGAAGAAAATTTTACGCATGAATAATTAGGAAAAAAAAATGTGAATAAGGTGAGAACATTTAATAGAATGATTGATATTATTTCTAGATAGATAATTGCAATTTTCTATCGAAACAGAACAACAATTGTCCCTCAAGCAATATAATCTAATCAAGTCATGTCATGTACCATATATCTCTCAAGAATCAATAAAAAGAAAATAAACTTTTTATGATAGATGTCGCTTTTACACAAAAGAAATAAATAAACTTTATTATTATTTTTCATTTCAAAATTTCAAATGAAAATGTTATTTTAATATAGAATTTCAATCTAATAATATAAATAAATTCATTTAATCAATTATCAAATCAACCTTGTTAGAGTTTTATCATAGGCATTAATGGCGATATTTCAATCAGTCTCTTTCCTCCTTGCCCTCTTCTCTCTCTCTCTCTCTCAACCACTCCTACACTTCATAAATTGTTATTCTCTTGAAAAAAAAAACTTTCTTTTTTTTTAGTTTTATTTCAGATCATGTGAACTTGTTCAAGTGATCAAGGTGGTATTTTTCCGTATTGAATATTGTTTATTTGTAATCATGACAATATAATGGAAGAACCATTAGAACAAGAACACGCAATTACAAATGATGATTTAAAACCATCATCATCAACATCAACAACAACAACAACAACAAAATCATCCCGTTTAACAAAACAAACAACGACAACAAATGGTACAATACGTCGTCATAAACGACGACGTCAAACAAATAGTACGCGTTCATCAAGTGATCATTCGACGTCATCAAGTCGTTCATCATCATCATCAAGTCATTCTTCACGTTCTTCAATAAAAAATAGCAATTCAAATGATCAAGAACCAAAAAAAACGCGTAGTTGTTTAGCACAAGAACAATTACAAATAATTATTGATAAAACAAAAACTGGAAAATATGACATTTTGGATAGTTTTGCTTTTTTATCTTTCGAAACCGATGATGATTGGCGTTTGGCATTTGAACATTTTAAACAACAACAATTACAACAAGCATTTACAAGAAAAAAATCTCATTCGATATCAGGAAAAAAAAATGGACATGTTATTGATCATACAGATGAACATTTATTACATCGTTCAATAAGTGTACCATGTAAAATTGACGATGGACAAAAAATATCGAATCATCCGATATCAGCTCCAGTAGAGGATATAACATCAGAAAAGTACGTAGATTTAAGAAGATTTTCATTCTATAAAAAGATGTTTCCGAGTTATTTTTGGTTTTGAAATCTTTTGATTATGACAGTTAATAACATGAGATATTATTGTCTATTGAGTAGAAACAAAAACTATGTCTTGTCATTTTTTGGATCTATAAATAATAACCTTATCAGATTAAAATTACTTATAGACGTATTTTTCTAATCTTCTTGATTTATTTTTATCATCTAGGTTTAAATAGTAGTTTCTTATTTGACAAAAAAACGCATCATTTTACTGAGTTGGATTTTAGTATCTGATTAATTCTTAAGTGACACTATCTTGGGTTTTTTTTCAAGATATTTGTAAGTTTTATTATCAAAAGAGTTTAAAGCTATCGTGGTTTAAAAGTTGACAGTTCTTTATGTCAAATCTCCTGTCACCTTATATAAATAATCTTTAGCCACATAGCATGAGAATTATACTTGAATTTTATTGACTAATAAAATACTTTTCTTTTTCTCACATAGAAAATTTCTTTTTTGTATAAAATGTTGTTTCAATAGTTGTTAAATTTTCTTCTATTATTTAAGTCATCAAGCAACAATGTGGCAAGAAACATCTCCAGATAAAACTACTGATGATCGTCAATCAATAACAACAACAATTAAAAGTGAACCTATAGAGAAAACTAATCGTTCAAGTCGAACAACATCTGAACATGATGAAAATCATTGTGATGTGGAAAATAATCCAAATTCAACTGTATCATCACAAAAATCTACGGATGAGATTAAAGTTGAAGCTAATGAAAAGAAACATCATCATCATCATCATCACCATCATCATCATCATAAATCACATAAACGACATAAGACTAAACATGATCTAAGTGTTAATGGCGATAGGTATAGAAATAAGACAAAAAAAAAGATTGTTTCAATTATTCAATTATTTCTTTTAGTAGTAATAAACATCCAACGATTACATCAATGTCTGATTTAGCAAAACAACATATTAAAAATGAACCAATTCCACTTCCACCTTCATTCAATTTTCCACCCCATTTCGATCCAAAACTATTTTCTCTTCCACAATTTTCACCATTTGCTTCTCCTGCTCCTCCTCCTCCACCATCATCATCATTTCCTGGTTCATATGATCATTCATTGATGTTAGCAAATCGATTCTATGGTGGACAATATCCACGTGATCTTCCCATGGCTCCACCACATAGACCGCCATCAAGATCATTACAACATCCATATTCATTGAAAGAAAATCATTCAAATTCAGCAGAATCTATGGAAAAAATGTTTGAAAAATATTATCCAGGTGTATTACCAAGTTATTTAGCAGCTGCCGCTTCTGCAGCAGCAGCATCAGCAAATAGTAATTCACCTGTATCATCATTAAATGTTAAAATGCATGGTGCTTCTCCAAATAATCCTGATCATCCCCTATGGCCACATCGTGAAGCTTTACAACGACAATTTTTAGCTGCATCAAATAAACGAAGTTCAACAAAATCACCATTATTTGATTCAAATACAAAATTACCATCAAATCATTCAGGACCATCACCAACTGATCATAATAATCATCATCATCGTCGTCATAGTTCATCAACATCTAATACGGATATACCCAATTCAACAACACCCACAGGACATCCATTATATTTAGCACCTGTTATTGTTACAGAATTTCATCAGGTAGATTTTAAAGTATAATTTTTTTTGAATGTTTCTATATATTTTTTATTTTAGCATCAACATAATCATAATCATACACATGAACATAAATTAAATATAACAACGAAAGAAGAACGATCATCAACACCAAGATCGAAAACTCCATTATCAAATGAACCTAAAAAACCTAAATCAGGTTTTTCTGTCACAGATATGTTTATTGATAAAACATCACCTGTTATTAAACATTCACCACAACCACAGCAGCAACAGCAACCTCAACAACAACAACAACAAGGTTTCTTATCGGTTATTAATAATAAAAAAGATAATAATCAGTCATCATTAGTACAATTAAAAAAACCATCGAATGGTAAATGGTCAACAGCACATGTTCATATAGCATGGATGATTTATCATAGTGAACAACGACAACGAGAAAAATTAAATCTTCTTAATCCAACAAATAAAATTCGTCCTTCAAATTCATTAGTTTCATCATCACAATCGTCACTTTTACCACCACCATTACCATTAAATGATAATAATAATGATTTATCATTAATACGTTCACCATTACAACCACCACCACCTCTCCCACCACCATTTACATTTCCATTTGATCTTACTTCTCAACAAAATCCTCTATTTCGACCATCATCCACAACAAAATTATCACGACCAGCAATTACACCATCATCATCCTCATCATCTTCATCAATTAAAACACCAACTATAAAACGTGAACAAAAACCACCATTATTTGATGAACGTATTCGACGAACATCTCCATCACCATCATCACGACCAACATCAGGGTCAAATTTTCTTCCATCTTCACCATCACATCGTATGAGGGTAAGATTCATTTAATAATTAATTTTTTTATTTCTACTTTATTTTTCTTCGATCTTCAATAGATGGATTTTCCATCATTATTGTTACCACCACCACCTACACAACATCAACTACCAACATTTTCTGTAAACGATGATCGAAGACGTTTTCAAGCTCCAAATCCCGATCTTTTACAATCTTTTGGCGCTTCAGGTCCAAATCCATTTTTTCAATCATTTTTTCCAATGGGTGCACCACCAATGCCACCACCCCCACAACATATGTCTTCATCATCATCGTCTCGTCGTAGTGGTATGAACAGTGATTCATCAAAATCATCATTATTTCTTCCATCTATGCAAACACCATTTGATTTTACTCGATCACCTTTATTACAATCTGGACTTCCTCTACCGAATAATCATCTTGACTCTGATCGTTATCGTTTTATTTATGAACAACAAGCACGTGAACGAGATTTTCAATTAGCAATGATGGCTGCAGCAGGAGGAAATGGACCACCACCTCCACCACCACTTTTTACCGATCCAAATTCTTCGGCACTGTTTAAACATTATCAAACTTAATTCATTTTTGTTTTCTTTTTTTTATATCTCATGACTTGTTTTTTTTTGTCAGACAAATTTCTTGATCTCTTATCCACTTCACGAATCCATGACGCAACTTATTTTTGTTTATTATTTGCATCAACAGTGTCTTCTTCATCTTTCTCTCTCTCTCTCTCTCGCTCTCTCTCTTGTTTTTTTTTATTCTCGACTTATGAGTGTGTATTAACTTCATTTTTCGTAGAAAGAAAAAAAAATCTTCTGTTTTTTTTTCTTATCTGTATTCATCTTGCTTGGGATATTTACTTCTTACTCTTTCTTTATACTCACAATCGTGTTATATATGGAACTTTTTCATATGAGTTTGCGTGCGTGCGTGTGTGTGTGTGTGTGCGTTTGTATATGTAAATAATTTATGTGTGTATGTTTGCAATTTGACAAACAACGCTAAAAAATATACTCTCAATCAATTCTATAATAATATATTCATTTTGAATTTTTCGGAAGCAGCTTATTATTTAACTAAGAACATTTTGTTTTATTATTATCGCGAGAACAAAAAAAGAAAACTAAGTGGTATTATATTTATTGAAAAAACAAATGTGATTAATAATGCCTTCAAGTAGAATATGGAGATAATAGTAATTCTTTTTTTTTTGCTTCTTTTTCTATCCTCATGTCTACAATGAATAAGCTATCTTGTGTCATTATTGCGTAGAAAAAAGATACTTGATGATTCTTGGCACAAAAAAAACAATCATCATGTATCTTCTGTTTCTCGATGATTCTCTTCGTCATGCCAGAGAAAAAAGACGATATCGATTCATCCTATGTACTAGTATATATAGACGTCGAGAACATCGGTTCTATCAGTTAGATTAAGAATAATAATAGAAGAAGTTATCATGAAGCTTTTACTCGTTTTCGCATTTTTGGCTCTTGTTTGTTTGGCTCGATCGGCACCATCGGTAAATTTATATTAAAAAATAACTTTCTTTATTTTATTTATTTATAATAAAAGGCAATAAGTAAACCACGACAACTCATTCTTCCTCATTATGATGAAGATGAAGAAATTAAAATACACATAGATGAAGATCATACACATGGCATCGATACTGAAGATGCCGATGATGCTGATGAAGAAGAACCATCAACAACAACAACAACAACAACGACTACAACAACTCGTCGTGCACCTTATGCATTTCCAACAAGAGATCGTAATTTAATACCTTCACGACGACCTATTCGAGTAAATATTAAAAAATTAAAAATTTCCTTTTTATGTTTATTTACAATTTAGACACAACGTCCAACAACTCGTCAAACAACAACAACTGTTGCTATTGATTATGAACAAAACGACAATGAATATGATGGTGATTACAAATATGTTCGAGATTTTCGTAAATATATTCAACAATTAGTCGATGATATTAAAAAAGTCATTCGAAATCTGACTGGTATGGATTTGACTGATACACCTCGACGACAACAGTATCCTGAACATGAAGATTAAATTAAAATTAAAAATAACAATTCTTTCGCTTTTTTTGTTAGTTATTCATAGAGTTTCTTATATTTGTATATTGTTGTTATACACTATTTGCATGTAATAAATATTTAGTAAGTTTTATATTTAAATAAACATAGTTTTTGAAAATATATCCAACCTTATGTATACATTAGACACTATTTCTAAGATAACAAATGAATTATTTATTCATCGTTACAACAACATTTATATTCCATATGTAACTAATAAAGAATTTAAAATCAGTATTATTTTGCTTTAAATCAAAAAAAAAATAATTACTCAAATTTTGTACCTGACGTATAGAGTATATTTTCATGAATTGTCTATACTAATGTCAAGTGATATTTTCCATTAATATATCATCTATCTTTTTTTGTTATGTCATAAAGACCTAATGTTCTCTTTTTTCTCCGATTAACTCGTCAACATATATTCTATGTCTTATTGATTGATGTAAAACTACGTTTTAATCAAATATTTAATTTAACTATTGAGTTTCAATTTTAACTATAATAAGATAATTCTGTATATGTATATCCGTTAGAGACTGTAAATTCATAGTTTTCTTGTTAATTATATAGATATATATAAAATTCAAGGTAAAATAGATGACATTTACATTGTTACATGTCATTATATTAAATAAATCTTTTCAATTTATGATGTTCTATTGCTGCTTGTAAATAATCACTTGGCATTTTACTTGCTTCGATAGTGCCACAGGCCAAAATACTTCTCGTTTTTTTTTTCTCTGTATTCAAGTACGCCTATTTGTCTTCCATATGAAAGAACCAATAATTTATTTTTTCTAATAGATTGATTATTCATCAAAAAAGAAAAGAATAGACCTTTTTTAAAAACGGATCATGTCCTTAGAAACTCAACGACGTTTTATATTATCTGAATGGCGAATAGTTATGGTTAGTCAAACATCATATCCAATTATGTATAAAATTGATCGACCACTCCGATCTAATGAAGCATCACAATCATTTGGAACAAATTATGCTGCAGTTAAGATTCCATTAGGCAATAGAATTATTACAAAATGGCAAGAACAAGTACGCCCAATCGATAATGAAAATGAGAAAAATGAATCTAATAATCCATGGTATGTTGTTCGTGAATGGACTGAAGCAGAAATGTGAAAAGAAAATTAATATTCATTTTAATTGTAAACATTATTTTTTTCCAAATCAATTTTAGTTTTCAGAATATTTTTTTTCCTCAATGTATTAGAAATCTGTTTGTATAATCAATATATCACTGTTCATATAAATCCAAATATGATATTAAACATTTTTCTCATATATATGCAGCAGCTATTCTGATCAAGCACGAAGGTTATACTTCAATCTGAAGGACAATTAAAGAGGAAAAAAAAGGAAGAAGAAGAATGATACTATTCATATTTAACGACATGAAGGAAAAAAAGTGATACTTTTTTTTTCTTATATGCTTATTCGTTCTACAGATTGAGCCCTGTAGGACAATACTGCTAGTCATGCATCGATGCCTTGCTCATTTGATGGCCATTTTGCAAAAAAAGAGACTATATATAAAAGAGAACACCTGGATGAACATTAAAATATACTTGAACTATGACTTTTACAGTTGATATGTAAATAGGAATATAAGATACATAAAGAGAAATATTTCAGTCGATTCTTCTTTGGATATTATATTAAAACACTTATTTGTTAAACAGTAAAAAAAGAAGATGGCCACGTAAGTTGAAATTTAATTTCTTACTAATTCTACATGATGGAAGATAATAAAGATTTTTTGATACGATTAATTAATGAAATGAAAAATTAAACAATAAAAAATTATCATCACAAATCGATCAACTATAATTTTATAGAAAAATATTTCAATATTAAATCTAATTACTAAATATCTACCGGCGAATCAAATAGTTCGTTTTTGTCAACTAGAAAATATTTTTTTCTACATTATCTCATAATATCTATGTATTTTATGATATAAACAGTGATGATTTTTCTAGTAGTTAGTCCTTCATCCATTCTTTTTTCTTTTTTTACCTTTAATATATACTAATATGAGACAAGCTATAGTTAATATTGAATTACAAGGATTGTTAGTTTTTTTTCTCTCTTTTTCTGAGCAAGGTCAATTGCTGATGTTTATTAGTTTGTTTATTATTGTTGTACAAATGAATACTATAAATCAAAAAAGTTGAAATGAACGTTTAAATTTACATTAAGAGAAAAAAATAAAGATAACTTAAAAAATAGAGTAGCAATATTGTCTTTAAATTGAACTCCAATCTATACAAGAATAAACATAAACAAAGCTAGGGGAATAATATGTAAATGTCCTTGCCGGTATTTTACTATATATAGTTCCGCAAGACTGATTCTGTCTCTTGTTACTATTATCATCAATATTTGTCTCTTTTTTTCTTCTTTAATGAAACTATAAACAATATTAAAAATCGATATATTGTACGATTTTTTTCCCTTGTCTTCGATCATTTACTCAATAGCAGATTACTTGTATATTGGTATATGTAGTTTTCTTCTTTGTTTTTTGTTCTTAATTTTAGGTCTCGTAATTATAACAACGTCACAAGTGATAGCAATCAAGAGACTAAAACTACTCGTGTGACAGATCGTACTCAAATTCATCAAGTTCTTGCAGGCGTTGGCCTAGATCCGAACGATTATATTATTAGTCCATCACCAGAGGATCAGTTATCCCGAGAGTCAGCATCTAATAAAACATCAGCTTTTACTACCTATCCTTCACCACCAGAGCAGAACGCTCAACATCCATTGACATCGCAATCGCATTCCTTATTCACATCCGCTCGACCTCTTTCATACGTAGAACAACCTCCACCTCAACCTCCACCAGCGCAACTTTTTCCAGGTTATCCATCGACACAATCAAATAACAATCAACCACCAATCAATCAACAACAAGGTCCACAACTACCACCACCACCAACCTCACAATCAACAGCATCGTCACTATCATTTCTTTTCAATCAACCCTCATCAAACACACAAAATACAATCTCACAAAACACAACCTCACAAAATATACCTACACAAAATACAACTACACAGCCATCTAACGATATGAGTCATTACTGCGTTTCACCAAGACGATCTCCTCCACCGCCACCATCGCATTGTCACCCCCATCATCATCACCATCATCATCATCATCGTGATTCGTCCTTGTCAGCCGAACATTATATACATCAAGTTAATTCACACTGTAACCCACCTGTTAAAGTAGTAAAACCGAGTACACAAAATGTTGTCTATAAAAAGGAAATTCGTATTCGTTATTTACAACCACCTACACCACCACCACCAGCACCAATTATAATTCGTGAAAAACATATACCACCAGATCCACCTCAATCTGTACTTATTGATCATTTTTCTTTCTATATTTTTAATTTATTAATTTGTCTTCATTAACAGCCACTTCTTATTCGTGAGCGAAAACCAGAAGCTCGTACACCACCACCATTGACTATCCGTGAACGTCCACCAACACCACCTAAACCACTTGAGTAATACAATTAGAAGATAAAAAAAACAATTATTTTTATCTATAATTGTTTATTTTCTTTTCGTTTAATTAGACCATATATAATTGAAAAAAAACTTCCACCACCTCCACCTCATCCACGTCAAATTATTATCGAACGTTTACCAACTCCACCACCAAAACCTCGTACAGTTATATTTGAAAAATGGTTACCATATAAAAAACTTAAACGTCCTGTCCTATTGCAACGAGCTCCAACACCAGAACCTATTAAACCAGCACGTAATGTTGTTATTGAATATGAACCATTAAAAGCTTATACAGTTCGACGTGTTATCGAAGAAGGTGTATTTCGTGTTGATCCATGTCAATTTTCAAGTTACAATGCTAAAACACAGAATTGTGGTGGTGACGTACGTATTGTTGAACGTATTGAAGATTTACCACCACCGAGTGAACAATTAAGACGTGTTTTAAATGAATATAATTGTGAACATCGATGTAGTCCATCACATATAAGTCGTCATGATTATCATTCACATCAGAATTTATCTGAACATATTCCATCATCGATTCAACATTTATTAACGGGTGCACGACCTACATCAAATATTGATCAACTTACAAATGTATCACGTTCATCAAGTACACCAGCTCATAGACATGATCGAGTTCTATCAACAGGCAGTAATTCATCAGTTCCAAGTCCAACCCATGCACGTCTTCCAAGTTCACATTCGAAAACTTCCAATCGTATAGTAGAACAACGTTCACCACCTCACGGTAGTCCAATACGATATCATGAGGACGATATCTATTAATAACTGACATCATATTTCTTTAACTCTAATATTTTATAAATGAACGAATTTAATTATTTTTCGTTCACACTTTTTTTTGTTCATTTTTTTTTGTCTTTTCAAAACAATTTTTCAACAATTTAATATGATGTGATTTTCCTTAAGAGCACGAGGGGTTTTTAGTCAACTAATACATATGTGTATATGGGTAAATTATATACTCATAGTATAGCTTTTTTCATATATGCATGTGACCAAATAAAAAAAACAAACCTAGAAATTCTAAATAAGACTATCTTTGTATTCTAAAACAATATATATAATCATGCATGAAATTAAAATTTTATTTTTTGTTTTCATTACAATTCGATAAATAGTTTTTTATTTGTAAACAACTGAATAAAATTATTTGATGTATATAGACGATTACCTAGAAATGATACTCATAGTGTTTCATCTTGAATGTATGTCGATATAAAAACTAGTAATTTGTTTTTCTTATTAATCATAGATTTGAATAGAACGAGAATCTGCTGTCAATATCAAGGTAAACGTTATCACATGATGAAAATTTGTATTCCAGGTTTAGTATGTTTTCTTTCACACAGAAGAAACCCACATGACAATATGTTTACTTGTAGCTCCGGAAAAAAAATGAAAGTGTTAATTAACTTTGTAGTAACAGGACTTGTCAATATTTGAATAAAAATATGTTTTTGATTCTTATTTTTCTTCAAGTAGCTTTAGTAATATCATTATGTCTTTATTTGATATAATTCCATTGAATTAAGATTAATTATAAATACATTCGTACAAAAAAAGAAAAGAGATCAAACTACTTCCATACAAGAATCAAAAAAAATCTTACTGTTAATAAAACAAACAAAAAAATATGCTATGTCTTGTCTTTTTATTATTATTGTGCTTTGTTAAAAACATGAGTTTATGTGAATAAGAAATACTTTTTTTTTCTTTTGTTTTGTTTTTATTAATCTGACCTGAATAATTTGCAATAGAGAAATAAATAAACAAACAAATAAACAAAAAAACAAAATCTTAATCACCGGTCATTAATAAATTGATCAATCATTGATCGAGATAACTTCATGGCTGTTTGACTACGAATAAAATCTGTTGATTTTGATTTAACAAGCGCTGAAAAATCAGCAAATGATGGAGACGATTTTATTGAACGTGCACATGTTTTACAAACTGGTGCTAAACTATTACTATAAAGACCAGGTAAATGTATACTACGTTCAATACATCGTGTGCAATAATTTTCTCCACATCTCCAACAATTATACTAAAAAAAATAAAAATATAGAAATATTATAAATTTTGTTGTTTTATTTCAATACTTTTCGTTGTGCAGAATCAAATGGTAATGAACAAGCACAATGAACAGGTGCATTATATGAACGCCAATCGAGTGCAATTGAATTGAGTTCAAGTGCAATACGTTCTAATGTTGGAATATCATTTAAATCAATACTTGATTGATGTGGAAGTATGAATGATGATGATAAAGCTTTATTATGTGGAGAATAATCACCACTAAAACCACTTTCCACATCGGATAAAGATGGTGGTGGTTGAAGAATTGTATTTAATTTCGAAGAAATTGAATTTGTTATACGTCCTTGGCTTATATCAACATCACTTAGACCACTATCAAACTCAGGAAGACATATGTTATTATGATGATTTCGTTTTTCAATATCAGAATCATCAACACCTTCATTTGACGTTGTTGTTGAACTACTACTAGTTGTTGTTGTTTGATTATTATCAAATGTTGAATTAAGTTCACGTATACGCTAAAACAAAAAATCCTTCGAATTACTAAAGTTCAATTATATATTTCTTAAATCTATACCTTCTCTAATAATCTTGCATGATCACTCAATGATGTTGTATGATCAACAAGACGTGTTAATGTATTCGAAATATTTTCTTTAGGTAATAATGCACTATCAAATCGATGATACATACTTAACCAAAATCTAAAAACATTTATATAATTACAGAAATAAAAATAGTCTATAGAAGAATATACTTTAAAGTTTGAGCATTTATTACTGGTAAAAGAACTTCACTTGCATAACTTGATTGTGGACGAAATAAAGGATTTTTAAAATCATTAACATTTTGTAAAATAAAATTCCAAAATGAATATGTTCGTTCTTTAACACTAAACAAAAAATTATATATATATATATGCATTAAACGATGATCGTATAGAATACAAACCATAAATCAAGTCGATCTTTTTCGCAATTTCCAATAAAATTTCCATATTGACATGAATGTGAATGATCATGTAAGGATATAAGAAAACGTTCATTAAATTCAAATGCAGTTGGATATATTTGACTTAATTGCCAAACAGCTTCTATAAACTAAACAAAACAAATCTTATATCATTGGAAAAAATTAATTGAAATAAACAAACTTGAAGAAAAACTGGTGATTGTTCTTTATTATCACTCGTTGTTGTATGTCCACAACGATCGGAAAATTTATGTCCAAATGAAAGCCATTCTTTCTCAATTAACATCTAAAAATATGAATTAGAAAAACCAAAATTCTTAAAGAAATCTTACTCGAAAACCATGTATTGATCGATAATATGGACAGAGAAGAAGAGATGATAATGAACAACATTGTGCTGTCCGATCCCAACCATCCGAACAATGTACAAGAACATTTTTCTTTTCAATATCAATAACCTACAAAAATATTTCTTTTATTTATAAAGAAAAGCAATATTTTCTTTTTACTCGAGCAATAAATATAGCAGCATCTAAAACAGATTTTATATGTTGTAACCATGATGAACTATCAAGAGCATTTAAATATTGATTCATTGTTGGATTTTTCATATCACTAACTAAATAATAAATATTTTCATGGAATCGAAATTTGATCTATTTGATAATATTACCTTCTAGTAGTTTCTGTAAACTAGTGCGCATTATATGTATATTTTCAATTGGACAAAATTTAAATTGAATATTTGAATAGTAACCTTCATTTTCATAGCCTTTACCTGCTGCACGATTTGCTACAGCATTAATCTATAACAAAATTACACATTAGTCAAATTTTTCTATGAATCGGAACTATTAAGGAAATGAAAATATACCCGTAAGGAAGAACTTTTTACAGGTATACTTACACGTGGCCTTGTATCAATAATATACATTGTATTTGAATGTGGATTTGTTCTGAGTATACATTGAAGAAGTTGTTCATCTTCTTGACAACGCGCACTAAAACCAGATAATGGTTGTGAACAACGTGTTATTGATGCCTAGAATTATTCAAAATCAAAATTTTATTTATTAGTTTTTTTGTTTCTTACTCCATTTGGATGTAGATAGGTTAGAACAGGTAATCGACCGCGACTTCGAAATTTTGAACTTCCAAATAACATAGCTTTTGATGTTAATGTTGGAACATAGATTAATGGTGGATAGGTATCACACATATCGAAATTGCTATTTCCATCTTCAATTTTCCAATGTTGATTTGGTGCACCCATTCTCATATATTCTGTTGCTGGGAGAAATGGATCCCAAATTTTTTCAAGATAATTTGGTGCTTGGTAGAGAAAACAATAGAGTTTTTCATAAGAATCTTTAAGGAGAAAAAAAATCATTTTTTTTTAAATAAAATTTCTTTTTTTTATTACCTGGTTTTAATTGATTAAGTGTTGCATGTAAATCAGCGCAATCACGTTCTTTTGGAATAAGAAATTCTGCTGAAAGAAAATGTTTCGTTCGAACACGTAAAGGACATCCTTGTTGTGTTGTGGGTAGTTTATCAACAGATGATATAAGGGAATGAAGAATCTTGAGGATAAAATTGAGATAATTATCTATGTAATTTTTTCATTTATCTTACCCAAGTTTCTCGTTTTCCTTCTGGATCAGTAAATATAAGATGTGTAGAAGTCAAGTAGATCGTGCCTGAAACAAAGAAAAAGAAATTGATAAAAAACAGACGAGAATAATAGAACAATTTTTACCAATTATTTGTTGACGAGTGTTAAAACGATCTGTCAAACGGACATTCTCCACCTATAATGAATAATATTATATTATAAATTGTATTTTTATCTGTCTTTCTTTTTTTACCGTCTTATGCTTAAATTTCATTTCGGCAAAAACAGAAAGAAAGAACGAATGATTCGATGTTTTCTATACGGGTAATCTCTTGAGAACCGAAACGTCTAATACGATTTACATTCTATTGACTTGAAGATTTTTTTTCCCTCGTCATACTTATATAAATAGAGAGAAGAAATAGTAGTAATCAGTAATAGCATGTTTTTTTTGCTCTATTCATACTTCTTTTTTTTTATGATCTTGTAAATTATAGTTCATTAACTAGGTTTTTATTATTCTCAGTCATTCTATTATCTTCACTATCTCTAATATCCGGAAGCTAAACGTTTTCCGAAGCAAAATCTGAAAGCTAACAATAATTTATGCTAACTTGTAGGCATTCGGGTGTAGCAACACATTAAGATTTGCCTTGATTCTTCTTAGAAAAATAACAAGATATGAAAAGAAAGTTTTTCTTTTTTTTTGTTATGTGTATCCCTTGGGTAAACAAACTAAATACATATTTCAAATGGAAATCATTTTTTCTTTTGACAGATTAGGATTATCTGTTTCCTTATTTTTTGCAAAAAAAGGTTTTTTTTTGTTGTGTTCATTACCTTAAGATGGGTGGCAGAAGGAGGAAGAGATTTTAATTGATCGATTTTTGATGATATTTGTTTAAAAACTTCATTAAATAACTGACGATTCATCGGTATATTAATATAAATAACCATAAACGATCGATGTTGAATGTATTTGTTTGGAAACAGACGAGAAAAGCAAGCAAAACTATTCTCTCTTCGTGATTCTACTCTGATCGATTTTCTTCTTCTTTTTCTTTTCACTGCTCTTTTCCAACTCTTATCTTAACATGATGCAGTACACAACAATGCATTTGATTTGAACTCT